CCCCTATATTATGACTAGAAAGTAAAAGATGGGTTATATAATTTTTTGTACTTTTTATTAATTCCTTTTTTATGGTCTTAACTCTTACCTCCTTCTTCTTCTTCTTTTTTATTTTTTTTATTTTTAGAATAAGCCATGATAAAGCTAAGCTACGCCAATATTAGGGTAAATAATCATAGGATTAAATACAAATGATGGTGACATGTATCAGGGCAGAGCGAGACTGTCAGCTATGAATTTTGCTAAACAGAATAACTTTAGTTGAAATCATGTCAGCTATGAATATATACATATGATTATTAATTTAGTACTTAATAACTTAAAAGAATAAGAATTCAGAACATTTAACATGTCACTGAATTTATATATATTCAAATATCACGTGAGTATAGAAGAGAAGGAAATTAATGAAAGATTTGACGTATTGTTGTCATATTAAAGAGAAGAAAAGGTAGAGATGGGCTTTTGAGTTTTCAAGAAATAAATCATTGAAGCATATGACAATTGCTAGTTGCCATGTGATATTCTTCCATCTCGTCCACACTATAATGATTTCTTTTTTAGCATATTATTGTGTACAAAATATTATCAACTACACTTACTTGGAATTTAGCTCGAATCGACATTATGAATCTTCATTATTAGCGATATTATTAAATTATTAATGTAATTAAAAGAATAGTACCAAATTGATCCGTCCATAGAAAGATCAGAAAAATATAATATCTATAAAGAACTCAAACATGACAACAAGATAGTAATACGATATAATGACATAATTCTATACAGTTATAATCACATGGCAATTGAAATCTCCACAAGAACTAATTTGCTCAAATTATCAATTTTCCATGTAATTTACTTCGAGTGGCAAGTGTACAAGGGCGGATATGGAAAGGGGCGATGGTGTTCACTCAAATTTCGCTCGGCAAACGATTAGACACTGCAAGACTAGAGGATGACTTAGTGAATAGTGGATTAGGTGGTTTAAAATTCACCCTGAAGTTCCAAGTTCAAATCTTAGACACTATTTTTTTTATTTTTTTCAACCCTCTTAATAATAATCCTAAATCCGTCACTACAAATTTGTTTTTAGAGGATTGAAAAATAAAGGCTCAATAAAGACCACAAAAAGAGTACATATCTAATGTTATAATTTTGGGCCTTCGTATATGCAACTAATGGGCTTATTTACTTTGGGCTCTAATTCCAAACTTGATGAAAAATCTGGATTTGCAAAAGGAATATTGGGCCTCTCCATTTCATAGTCCATAGTTGAAGGCATAATTTGAGTTATATATGTTCTTTCCACCAAAGTGACTACTGCTGACTCATTTGGTACGTGGGATAAGGATAATAATTTCGAAATAAAATTTGAGATTAACTTTTTCCCATTTTTTATCTAAGATTTTAGCTAATCTCGTTTTTAGAAACGTCCAAATGATGAATTATTTGGAGCTCATGAAACTAAACTCGAAGAGCTACAAATTTCAATCTCAAGTTTAATCCAAATTCTTTGTATGTGTTATTTTGGACATTCCTTTCCTAATACCTCTTTCACCTCGATTATCCAAATTTTTGTAACATACTTTTTTAAAGAAATAATTCAGAAAGAACGTCATCTTTCTATAATCAGAAATAATTTAACTTTAAATTTTATTTTGTTTTAGCAATAATAAATCATTTATAGACATACAAATGTTTAAGGTTTGTTTTAGACGATAAATTTTAAAAATATTCCTTTCTTTCTTAAATTTTGTGCCTAGTCAAACGATGCTTATATAAATTGGGAAAGAGAAAGTATTCATTAGCACATTTTTAAAGTTTAAACTTTTACGATATTTTCATGATCGTTACAAACCTACTACCTTCAAATTTAAATCCACCTCTGTCTAAAAGATAACAATAAGTAAACTACACTCTAACAACAATAACAACATAGAAGATAGCAATCCATACTAAAGTGCAATTAGTATCCTAAAATACAAAAAGTTAAACTACACTCAGCAATAATAGCAAAACATAAAGTTCATCTAAATTAAAACGCACTAACATAAGTTTTGTTTTGTGTCATCAGTATATATATGTTTTGTTTTTTAATTTCCTATTCGGTATTTGAAGCCTCATCAGTATATTATTACAATTTGACACAAAACATAAAATGAAAAATTGCATACTTGTAGTAAAACGACAGAGGTTTTCATACTACAATTAATTTACCAAAATAGAATATATTTTTTATAATAAGAATTAATCTAAAGGTGTGGTGTATCATAACTTATATCATATAGTTGAAAGGCTGCAAATTAATCACAAAATGTACATATTTTGATAAAACCATATATAAGACAATAAAAATGAGTGATATAGGAACATTATCCCAAAAAAAATGTTAACCACCCAAACTTGCTCACAATTGAAAGGCTCAACGAATTTTATATATTTATGATTTTCATTAATTAATTAATGTCATTTCCTACCTCAAGAATAATAACAAAAAATAAGAAAAAGACTTACGAAAATTAATGCAATTTAATAAAATAAAAATTTACATTATTTAGTCATGATCAATGTATATTAATTCGATTTCACTTGTCCTTTTTTTCTTTTTTATTTTCCTTCCTCTTTATATTGTCCGTATAATAGAAAATTTAATAGCTTAGGCTAATAAAATTAGAGTTTAAAATTTGATGTATTGACTGATAAAAAATATTTATATGATCAAGATATTTATTATTATTTTTTTTGTCTTTATTTACGTAATGTACTTTTCTTTTTGATTTCTTAAAACTATGTATTTTCTTATTTGGAATCAACTTAATTTTAAATTTCATATTTAATTCTTATTGAGATAATTTGTAACGGCACAAATATTTATAATTGTCTAAAACTTTCAAGTTTAAAAAAACCTTTTTCTCTTTTTAAAATAAATCTTCATGTCTAGTTAAAAATTTAGGTCTGATGAAGTAGAAACAATATATTTAGTGTAATCTTACAAGTGGAATTTTAGAAAGAGTGCACACGGACCTTACTCCTACCTTGTGCAGGTAAACATGTTTTTACCAGACTCTCGACTCAAGTAAAGTATTTCAAAGCACGCAAGAGAAGAGGTTGTGCACGTCACAGAACTTGCAATGCAAGTACTCTTTCTTAGTCCTACTTAACCCAAACCCTCTAGGCCCTAGGATCTATCTTCGGACGTTCAACCTTTCATTAACTCCGACACATGTATTATCAATTAATATTATTTCATATGAAAAATGTCAAATAAACTAAAGTTCTTGATAAATATTTTGATGACTTGATAACAATGATAATTGACGTCACGAGAGAGACAAAAAAGAAAAGAATAAAATGAAAAACGTAATTACTGTCTATTGACCAACAGTTATGACAGAGTGATATATATTCTTTCATTCATGTTTAAAAGTCTAGTGTTCACACTCGAGTCAAGCGCATAGAAAAGAAGATCTTTATTAGCAAGCAATATTCAACTCTCAATATGAAAACTTTACAATGCTAGCTAATCTATATTTAATACAATACGACTTTATTACGAATATCGAACCCCAAATTAAAAAAAGCAAAACCCCCCACCAATTGAAGGTGATTGGATTAATTGAAGCATGCTTTAGTTATTTATAGGTACGTAAGCAACCCAAAAAGAACCTGCAGAATATATTCACCTATATTGTACCATAAAGATTTTATCAGAACCTATTATTAATGCTTTTAACATAGCATATAGCATAGCATCACATTGGACTTAGAGAGAATTGTACAGACACTTTCAAGTACACTTTGGACAATACATAGCTTTTAATTAATGAAAAGAGTTAAATGATCAAAACTAAACATACTTAAATATCTAGATTTTCGAGTTTCATATCTGAACTTGTACGTACGTTTTCTATCAGAACTATCACCAAATGTCATTTATTAAAACACACTTCAACTATCATTTGTTTGTTTCTCCTGCTTGAATAATGGTGATATTTCAGAAAAAGAGTACAATTAATAATTGATGTATTTCTTCCGTTTAAAACAGAATGACTTTATTTGATTTGATACGAAGTTTAAGAAATACTCAAAAAAGATATTTCGATCTTGTGGTGCTAAATTTAAATCATGCTAAATGTACCAAAATGCCATTTAAAAAAGAGACTCAAAAAAAGACATTTCGATCTTGTGGTGCTAAATTTAAATTATGTTAAATGTACCAAATGCCCTTTAAAAAAATACCCAAAAAAGACATTTCGATCTTGTGGTGCTAAATTTATATCATCTTAAATGTACCAAAATGCTCTTTAAAATATTGTGGTGCTACATTTCGATCTTTAAATGAACCAAACTTAAACATATCATGCGAAAAATTAAAATTAAAATATTGCGAAATAAAATGCTTCATATATATACATTTTTAAATAAACTAAAACGAAAAGTAGGTCTTCTTTTTTAAACGAATGAAATATTTTTGTTTCTGTGTTTTCACTCTATATTAGGTATCCATATTGAAACATCAACTAAATATACTCGAGGGTAACACTTCTAACAAGATTTTCTCTTCATATCTAGAACTTAAATCCAAAAACTCCGCTTATGAACGGAACAACCTCATTACTAGTCTACTACACCACTGCACCATAACTCATGAAACTCAAAAAACCTAGGTAATTATCTTATTATGAAAATTTAATGTAGTTTTCCTTCACCCACTGATATTCAACAACTTTTGAAAGTTTTTTTTTTTTTCCCTCTGTTTTGCTATGAAGAAGAAGCCAAAAGTTATAAACTCTCTGTACATAACCGCTGCTTCAACACTTGTCTCAATAACTTTGATTTTTTCAATTTTCTTCTTCTTAAATAACCCCAAATTATCCCATTTTTATTCATTACATCTTTTCCATTTTGGTTCTAAGTTTTTTTACCAACTCCATTGCTCTGTTTTTCTGGTTTCTTGATTTTCCGGCGAGTTTTTACCGGTCTCCGGTGGTACCATGATGTCTCAGACAGGTTTAATTCCTCCCAATACCCTAAAAAGAGAGATGAATCCTCAACCAATGGCATCTCATGAGAAGATTGTGAATGATCCGACTCTGTTTAGGGAGTGTCTCAAGAATTTTCACTCTGTTGTTGGCGCAAAGGACTCGTAAGAATGATCCAACCTTTTCTTTTTACCTCTCGGAGTTCTCACCCTTTTTTTTTACTTTCGTGGTAAATCGAGGTGTTGAATGCTTATCACACGAGCAATCAGTTTAATTTTACCTTTGTGTTTCTTCTTTCTTTTACAAAAAAAATACTCCCTCCGTCCCATTTTATGTGGCAACATTTGACCGGGCACGGAGTTTAAGAAATAAATGAAGACTTTGAAATGTTTACCAAATTGACCTTTAAAAAGTAGACTCACTTTTCTCTCTCCTCATAAATGTATTGGAGTATTATTTTAAGATTAAGTGGGACCAATAAGGGTAAAAAAGGAATTGTACATTTAAATACTTTCCATATAAGGAAATGTGACATTCTTTTTGGGACTGACCAAAAAGGAAATGTTGCCACATAAAAAGGGACGGAGGGAGTAATATTTTTTTTCCTTACATTCTTGGTGTTATGGATATTTTTTGAATTTTCACTAAGAGAGTTTAAAAATTCACAAATAAATAGACAAAAGGATTAAAGGGGTAAAAAAAAGATATACAAATAATTTTGATTTTTTATATATTCAATTTTTCGTCAAAGAAAATTTAGATGAATCCACAATGACATCTCATAAGAAGATTGTTAATGACATGACTTTTAAGAATTTTCACTCTTTTTTGGGCAGAAAGTGTATGTAAGTAGTTCGAACCTATAACCTTTGAAGTTAGAGGTGGAATGCTTACCGCTTGAACAAGCCGTCACATAAGTGAACTTTAATTTTACTTTTGTGTTTATTCTATTTTTAATTTTTTTCCATACATTCTTACATATATGTTTGGATTTTCACTAAAAAAAAAAAAATTATAACAAATAAATAGACAAAAGGATCAAAGGGGTAAAGAAACATATATAAATTATTTTGATTTTTTTATACATATGATTTTTTGTTGAGAAAGTTTTAGATGAATCCACCAATGTAGTCTCATGAGAAGATTTTGAATGACACAACTTTATTTAGGGAGTTTCTCAAGAATTTTGACTTTGTTTTGCACACAAAGTGCACGTAAAAAGCTCGAACCCACAATCTTAAAGTTGGAGGTGGAATGTTTGATGCTCGAGTAATCTCTCACATATAAAACCTTTAATTTTACTTTTGTAGTTCTTTTTTCAATTTTTTTCCTTACATTTTTCCTCTTATAGACACTTCTTGGATCTTACTTTTTTTTTTTAAAGAAAAAATAAATACACAAAAAGATCAAAGGAATAAAAAAAACATATACAAATAATTTGATTTTTTATATGGTATGATTTTTTATTTGAAGAAGATTCAGATGGATCCTTCCTATTGAATTCAGATGGTAAGTACGTAGCTCGAATCTACCACCTTAAAGTTAAAGGTGGAATGGCTACTGCCTGTGAGCAATCCGTTACATAAAAAACCTTTAGTTTTATTGTGTAGTTCTTTTTTCAATTTTTTCCTTGCATTTTTCCTCTTATGACACCTTTTGGATTTTTAGTCAATTTTTTTTTTAAAAAAAAATACACAAAAATATTATAGGGATTAAAAAAAACATATACAAATAATTTTGATTTTTTGTATGGTATGATTTTTTATTTGAAGAAGATTCAGATGAATCTATCCTCTCGAGTTCCGTTAGAAACGAGTGGAGACAAAAGGTGACAATATTCACGAGGATTTTTTTTTTAATACATACAATTTTTCGTCAAAGAAGATTTAGATGAATTCACCAATAGTGTCTCATGAGAAGATTGTGAACTCTATTCAGTGAGTGTGTCAAGAATTTTCACTTTATTTTGGGCACAAAGTGGACGTAATTGTAGCTCGAACCTACAATCTTAAAGTAGGAGATGGGATGTTTACGCCCGAATAATGTGTCACATAAAAACCCTTTAATTTTACTTTTGTCATTCTTGATTCAATTTTTCCCTTACATATTTCCTCTTATAGACATCTTTAAGATTTTCATTAAAATAATTTAAAATTAAAAAATAAATACACGAAAAGATCAAAGGAATAAAACAAAACATACACAAATAATATTGATTTTTTATAGTATATTTCTTTTAATTTTAAGAATATTCAGATGAATTCATCCTCTCGAATTCCACCCGTAACGAGTGGAGACAAGGGGCGATGTATATTCATGAGGAATTATTTTTCTTCATTTGTTGATTCAATCATAAGTTAAAACTATATATATAAAATTAATGTTTGTTTAATGTTTGATTTGGTTTAATTAAGGGTTCCTGTGATTGGAGGGAAGGATCTTGATTTGCATGTTCTCTATGTTGAGGTGACTAAAAGGGGTGGCTTTAACAAGGTTAAATTTTTTCTACTTTTTTTCATATTATAGTAATTTATTTGATTTTATGATATAGTTATTAATTTTATTTTTTTTTGAAGAAAATTAATAAGAAGATATACAAATATTATTTTGTTATTTAGGTAGTGGCAGATAAGAAATGGAGAGAAGTGAGTTTAGTTTTCAAGTTTTCTCCAACAACAACAAGTGCTTCATATGCATTGAGGAAACATTATTTCACTTTGCTTCATCACTTTGAACAAGTTTACTTTTTCAAACATGAAGTTCCTATGTTTGATAAATCTCCAGGTTAGCAAAATTTCATATTATATATATACTTTATTTTCTAAATCAATGTTTTATTTGTTTCGATATGCGCTAATATTTGTGTGCGATTACTGTGCTAGAAATATTCTATTTTCACCTTGATTTTGTCGAGTCTGTTCTTTCTCTTTCTTATCGAGGTAACGGGAGGAGTTATTTCGTGTCGTATTGTATGGCGTTGAGATATATTTAAAAGATATGTCACAATATATAACTGCTTAAGTTTTGATGCACAAAGATGTTATTTAAATTGCATTTTATTAGGTACTGACTAGTTCAAGGATTTTGATATTTATCTTTTGCAACTAGGTTAGATTTGTTTTCTATTTATTTCAATATTCGATAATATTTGTGTGTTATTACTGGGCTAGAAATATTCTATTTTCACATCGATCTTCCCGAGTCTCCTCTTTCGTTGTTCTCATCGAGTAGCTACTTTATGCCACATGTGATCATATGACATGATATCGACATATTTTTTTAAAAGACGTTTCAATATATAACAACTTAAGTTTTGACGCACCAAAGTGTAATTTGACTAAATTTCACTTTATATATACTAACTAGTTCATGGATTTTGATCTTTTACTACTAGCTAGGTTATACTATTTTTTCTTTTTATTTTGATATACGAATACATTTATGTGTTAAAAACCAAACTAGGCATATTTAATTTCCACTTTGATCTATCTTAGCCTCTTGTTTCTTTGTTCTCATTGAGGATCTACTTTTTGCCACGTGTTATATGATATGGTATTGAGATATATTTAAAAGACGTGCTAATATATAATTTTTTAAAATTTTGACGCACGAAAGTGTTATTTGACTAAATTACACTTTATAAGTACTAATTAGTTCAAGAATTTTGATATTTTACTAAAGGATTTAAGTTATACACATTAATAACGTAATTTTTTTTAATAGTGTTAGTGAACTTTAACCTACAATAGTAAGTTATAGTTACCAATTTTATCATCTGAACTTGTGTGCGTGAATGTAAAATGCTTCGTGCATCTAACTATTATTTTTGTTGCTCACATTCTCTATTTGAAATTCTCTTGTATATTTAGGTTCATGCTTCCAAGCTGAAGGGAAAATTGATGCCAAATTTGACTGTGGCTACTTTGTGTCCCTCAAAATGGGAAGTGAAGTTCTCAATGGTGTACTTTACCATCCAAACCAACAAGCTCAACCATCTTCTTCCAAATTTGTTGCACAAAGTTGCAACGCGATTGTGCCTTACTACTCAACACCTCTCAACAATTCAGGACGGAGGAACAGGAGGAGGAGGAACGGGGATCCTAATCGCCCAAAACCTAATAGGAGTGGGTATAACTTCTTCTTTGCTGAAAAGCATTCAATGCTCAAATCTCTTCATCCACATAGAGAGAGGGAGTTCACTAAGATGATTGGAGAGTCTTGGAACAATCTACCTCCTGAAGAAAAAATGGTAAGCATGTTTAAACTCGATCATATAGTGCTATTCTGTATTATGAAGATTCATCATAAATTGAGAATGTGGGCTTTAGATGTGACATGGAAGATAAAGATTCATGTAGGTTGCCCAAACTTTCTTGTGATTGAAGCATACTTGCAATATATTCATATAGGGACATTAAGTGCGCATTCGGTATGGAAAAATAAGAAAAATGACTTCTCTACTGGAAGTAGGGCAAACAAGTGCTACAAGTGATATCCACATTGATTGCAATCCCCTTACCCCTCCCCTCCACCAACACACCACATTTGCACGCACCCCCATGACTTCATCCCGACTATTGCACCTCCTATAGTATTTATTTAGATTATATACAAATGCTTTTATAATAATTTTTTTGTTTACATACTGAACACAAGAAAATAGGTAAGAAACTCGTTTTTTTTTTTCCTTCGTACCGAACACACCTTGAGAGATTTTGATACTGATTGTTAGTGTATACTATACAGGTTTATCAAGAGTATGGGGTGAAGGACAAGGAAAGGTACCAGAGGGAACTGAAGGAGTACAAAGAAAACATGATGACCACATCATCTTGCTACTAAAGGTAACTGATGAATGGTAGAGAAGAAGAAGAGCATGAGATAAACAATGTAAATGTTTGTGTGGATCAAAACTTTGTTATAGCTTATGTAAGATAGTCTTAAACTATTTCCAAAACTGTAGTTTAATTTCTCAAAACATTTGTTTACCTAAACTAATTCTCATGCTTATAAGATGGTCTTGCTTGCTTATCAAACTTTAGACTGGTGATTACTTGATAAACTCCACCATAGTACTTCTACAAATCATAGCTAAAATAATTATAATTTTTACACCTCTTAGGAGTTTTCGCCCTTTTTTGCTTCTTTGATGACTTGAACGTACAATCTTAGGGTTGGAGGTGAGAAATTCTTAGGGTAACTCCCTATTGTCTAGCAAAATTAATCTATTTTTGGCATTAGGATGTAATTGGAGGGTCGAGCATTGGCGGAGTTGATGTAACGTAGTCCACAATATTACTGGTTAGAGTTATGTAGGTATTAGTAATGTATAAATTAGTTATGTAGAGTTCAATTATTCATGCATTAATTTTAATGAAGACCTCGAGGAGGAAGCTTATGTAGACCAACCAGAGGGTTTTGAAATTAAAGAAAAAGGTCAAATGGTGCATAAGCTAAAAAAGTTCATTTATGAACTTAAACAATCCTCACGATAATGGTATAAAAAATTTAATGATAGCATAACATTTTTTTGGACTTAAGAAGATTACGGTTGATCGATGTATAAACCAAAATATGAGTGGGAGAAAGTTTATATTTTTAGTCTTGTATGTTGATGAACTTTTATGGTGATGCTAATGCGTTAGGCATATTGTGTGAGATGAAAGACTTCTCTATGAATTTTGAAAGAAAAGATATAGGGATACAAATATTTTGTGATAGATCATATGGATTATTAGGACTATCTTAAACAGCTACATGGAAACAGTTCTAGAAAGACTTGACAGGAAATTAGTTCAACAAGAATTGTTCTTATTTAAGAAGGGGGATAAATTTTGTCTCATGCAATATCCGAAAAATGATGTAGAAAGAAATAATTGAAGTCAATTCCTTACTCTTCTATTGTTGGAAGTTTGATGTATGTTCAAACTTGCACAAAATCGGATATTAATTTTGTGCTTAAAATGCTAGGTGATATATCAGAGTAATCTTGAAATTGACCACTAGAGAGCCGTAATGAAAGTCTTGAGGTCCCTGAAAAGAACATAGGATTAGATGCTCTTCTATAGGAGGCCCAACCACTTGGAAGTTATTAGATACTAGAATTCGAATTATGCTGGATATGTTGTCACTAGAAAATTTCCGTTTGGTTAATGTTCCTATTAGTTGAAGGAACAATGACATGAAAGAATGCTAAACAATCTGTCATTGCTACATCCATAATGAAAGCAGAATTTGTGGCATGTTTTTAAGCCATGATTCATGCATTATGATTGCGAAACTTTATTTCATGACCAAGGATTGTCGACACCATTACCAAGCCATTAAAAATTTATTGTGACAATACTAAAATAATATTCTTTTCCAAGAATGATAAGTTTACCAAATGTGTCAAATGTATGGAATTAAAGTAATTTACCATCAAAGAAGAAGCTCATAAACAAAGAGTTTCACTTGGGAGGGTTAACAACCAAAGACATTTAAAGAACATGTTCAAAGAATGCGTCTTGATTGTATTAATGAATGATACATTTATGATGTTTTGATACTCTGAGCTCAATTATGTGTTTTAGATATATATTAATGATTCTTTTTGTTTCTCATAATGGTGTACACACTTTTATTTTGAAATATTACAGGATACGTCTCAATGAGATATCATTGCTAATGTAATGGTATATGGGAGGGAGTATGTATCACAAACATTATGTATATTAATTTTTCATATTGTGATATGCATGATGTACATTATAGAGGAGATTTATTGTATGCACAACTAATATTTATGTCGTTATACTAATATTATTTGGTCATTGAGCCAAGTGGGAGAATTTAAAACTTATTTTGTATTTGGACCAAGTACACAAATGACCTCTAGGCCGAAACATTTGACATGAAGCTAGCCCTAAAATTTCAATTGATGATAGACCAAATCTATTTTTTTTTTGTTATGATTATTTTTATTTTGTGAAATGCACCTGCTGGGAATGTATGTTATACATTATATATACATTTATTATACATTTCATAAACACACTATTTATTAGTAGACATTTCATACACACTTTATACTCATATAATACATTATATATACATCTATATACATTTTTATACAATATATACAAAATATTCATTGTATACATTTTGATCAATAGATTTTTCACACACTTTTTATACTTCAAACATTATTCTTTACCTAAAAAAATTAAAATTTGAATCGAAATCTGAAATGAAAAGGAAAAAGAGAAGATAACTTGTCATTATTTGGGGCGTAAAGTGTATTTATGGACATATAGTTCAAAATTGTGCCATTTATATTTTTGAATTTTGATGATCATGCCATGACATTTTATTTTATTTTATTTGTGGCTCAATTAATATAAATTTCATAACTAGTATATTATACATAATAGATCGTGTCCGTACATCGATTATATGATAGACGTACCAGATTAATTTTTAACCTCTATAAATTGATTCTTTCTTCGCTCATTAGGGTTACCTCATATTCTCTATACAATTTCATCGTTGACAGCGGCCGCTCTTCTCAACAATAATGTCTTCCCAATCAAGTATGGTTTTATGGATTTTGATATTTCCTACTAGGCTTGATTTATTTCTATTTATTTCAATATGCGATAACATTTATATTTTATTACTAGGCTAGAGAAATATTCAATTTTAGCCTCGATCTTTTCGAGTCTCGGCTCTATTCATCGAGGAGAAACTAGAGAACTACTTTTTTCCATGTATCATTAATCATGACTTCGAGATATTTCACTTTAAATCATTGTGTCATACTCTTGTGCTTAGATAATGCTAAAATTGTGTTGAAATGGTGCTGAAAATGGTCTTAAATGGTGCTTAATTAGTGTTGAAAATGATTTGAAATGGTTCTGAAAATAATGAAATTTCTCTCTGTGTGATGTGTGACCTATAAATGACTGTTAGAATAAGTCCCAAGCATATACACTTCTTTAAGGTGTGATCCATCCAACCTCGAGTGAATATTAAATACTTTGTGTACCTGACTATTCTTTTTACATTATTCCATGGTTGTTTGAATACTCTTGTGTATTTAGGATCATTGTGTTTCCAAGTAGAAGGGACATTTGATGCCAAGTTTGACTCTAATTATTTCATGTCTATCAAAATGAATTTTGATATTTACTATTAGGCTTGATTTTTTCTATTTATTCCAATATATAACATTATGTGTTATTACTAGGTTAGAGATATATTTAATTTTCATCTTGCTTTTTCTGAGTCTCCTCTTTTTTCTATTCTCGTCCACAATTAATTTAAAAAGCTATTATAACATTTATGTGTTATTACTAGGTTAGAGGTATATTTAATTTTCATCTTGCTTTTTCTGAGTCTCCTCTTTTTCATCTTTCATGACTTCGAGATATTTTATTTTTAAATACCTGTGTTAATACTTGGTCCATGAAAAAGAATCAGACATGTACATGAGGGAGCGTGTTGAGAATACAATTAACTAATAAAAGTGTACTCATTCTAACATATTAAACTTTTAGATGAGATGGTCACACACTTTAATATGATTTCAGAGCAGACAATAGTTCTGAGATCAAATCTCATCGCCACTCATATATATATAAAAAAACATGTGCTTGGCCTTGAAAAAGATCACTCATTACTTAATTTTTGACACATCTATTAAAATACTATATAATAGTAGGATTTTTCTTCCTTTTATATATTGATTAAAAAAATTAATTATCTTTTTGATTGTTTTTTTGAAGCTCTTCACTCTTCTGGCAGCAATGATGAGGAAAATAGTAAGCCAATTTTCATTTGCCCCTTTTTTCTTTTCAAAATATTATTATATGAATTATTCTCACTAAATTATGTTGCATAATATGAATGTTTATAGATTTGAATACTGAATGCTTTAAATTTGTAAATGTGATTCAAAAGAATTATGATGTTCATAAATCTTTTTAATTTATATATTCCGTTTAACATATTACTTTACCTTTTTTTATGGTTTGCAAAAAAATCAAATGTGTTAATTCTTTTGTGCTATAAGGTGCACTTTCATTTAATTTTTTCCCTACTTGATATTCACGATTTTTTTTTTTAATTTCTATTTTTCTGATTGATTTTTTTTTTTGAAGCTTTTCACTCTTCCAGCAACAATGATGAGGAAAATGGTAGGTCAAATTCTCATTTTTCTTTTGAAATTATAATATATGAATTATTCTAGCTAAATAATATTGCATAATAATATGAATGTAGAATGCATTTTGCAAAAGAATTGTGAGGTTCTTAAATCTATTTTAGTTTATATAGATTGTCAAAACATATTTTGTCAACGAAAAATGATCTTATTCGGTATTCAAAATTTTAAAATTATTTTCATTTTTTTGGATATGTTTGCATCTAATAATATCAAAATGTAACTCATTAACCAGCCAATCAATTTATTTAGGCATAATACATATATTGGCCCCTAAACTTGACTTCAAATTTTAACTTTGACCTCCAACTTTCATAATGCACAAATAGGCACTTTAACTATCCTACCTTTAAATAAATAAACACACGATTTTCGGAGTCAAAGAGCGTGAAATGCAACCGCTCCCACTGTGTATTAGTGAGCCACTCAATGGCTGTCAACTAATTAAATATTTTACACGTCATTTTAGAACTAAAAAAAATTTAAATTAATTTTAATTTATATACGAGAATCAAAATTAATTCCTCCTAATGGTTTTGCTAGCTTGGAGCTCATTGGGTCTGTTTTCATGGGGTTTGGGGGGTCATTTGGTTGCTGTTTTGTGTCTGGTTCGAGCTGCTGGTTGCAGCAGTGTTGTTTCGTGATGATTCTCGCCGGAGATGGCGGATCTGATGGGTTTGGGGTCGAGTATTTGGTGGGTTTAGCGAGCTCGAAGCTAATTCGCTTCATGGGTTGTGCTCCGGTGTGAGGAAGAAGGAGAACGGCTGGGTTGGAGGTACTTGTTTGGGGGTCATTTGGTGGTGGCGTTTTGCCTGAAAAAGAAGAAAATGAACGGGGGTTTTGGGTTGCCGGAGATTGGCCGAAATTCGGGGGGTAGAGTTATCATTTTAGCATTTTTTTACTATTGTTTTTGTTGCAAATTATTTCAGAGCAGCCCATAAATATAAGAAGACATGAGAATCAATGAACTTCTCCTTCTTTTCTTTAGTTAAAGTGTATTTGTGCTTTTAAGTTGTCAAATACTTGATGGAAAAAACAGGGTGTTTTGTGTATTGTGATTGTCATAGTGAATAGCAAATTACAATTATGAATTTTTGGAGGCCAAAAAACTCCAAAAATTGAACATATAGTGCTAAAAATTATCAAGTAAAATGGTGCACTTAAAGTGTTTGATAAATTGTCTGAATGAATTTTTTAGAGATTTTTGTCAAATTTGAGTAGCAATCTGATACCTAATCAAAATGTAAGGAGTCCCTTAAGTGTGGATCGGATTCATTGATCGAGAACCTTCGAACTTAAATTGCATTCGACTTTTACAAGTGTATACTCACCCATCTTGCCAAAAAAAAACTTCATTATAATTTTTTTTCGCAATAACAAAAAATTTTATTAAATGTCACTTGCATTTTGCAGTGAACGGCAAATAATGCAAAAAAGAGGGGAAAATTGTTGAAAAAAATATAAAAAGGGTTTAATTGTCCTTTCAATGCTTTTTTTACTGTTGGGCCCCTCGATTTTTACATCTGACGCGTCTAATTTGTGTTTATTTCACGCATTTTGCCAGGTAGGATCCGAGTGTTTTTTTGTTTAAATTTTGGATAGTTAAAGTGTCTATTTGTGCACTCACAAAGTTAAAGATCAAAGTTATAATTTGAAGCCAAGTTAAGGGCCCAATGTATGTATTATGCCATTTATTTAATTTGTATTATTTGATGGACACACATGCAATATATGTGTCTAAAAATTTATTACACTTTATAAGTATTTATAACTAGTTCAAGGATTTTGAGTTTATAAGATTTTTATTTTGAAAATGACGAATCATTTTATGTAATTTATAATTACAAAATTTTACTCCTTGTATTTCAAACTTCATGGGAGTAGATAGTTTTGGAGCCCAAATATAATCCAATTTTACTTTTAAAAGTTTGTTCATTGCCATTTGATTCTTCATGATATTTACTTTAGAATAAGTTGCATGCTTCGTGCACCTGACTGTTCTTTTTATTTTATTCAAAGGTTGTTTACATTGTTTGTTCTAAATTCTCTTTGTTTATTTAGAATCAAAGGGTCTCCAAGTAGAAGGGATAATTTATGGCAAAATTGACTCTGGATATTTGGTGTCTGTCAAAGTGGGATCTGAAGTTTGCAATGGAGTAATCTACCATCCAAAAGAACAAGCCTCATCTTGCAACACGATTGTACTTGACAATCTACAACCTCACCACTATTCAGGACGGAGGATGAGGAGGAAGGAGAGAGACCTTAGGCTCCCGAAACCTAGATGGAACGACTACAACTTCTTCTATGCTGAAAAAAAAGCCATCCTCAAATCTCTTCATCCAACAAGGAAACGTTGGGAATTCACAAAGATGATTGCAAAATCTTGGAACGATCTTCCTCCTGAAGAAAAAATGGTAAATACACTCAAATCCAATCGTTCTGTATTTTGTATTGTGAGGATTCATCATAAATTAAGAATGATAAACTAATTCACTTAATATTGGACCATGAGCTTTAAATGAGCGATAGTGAAGAATCATATAGTCAGCTCAACTTCCTTGGGATACTCAAACTTGAGCATTACAACAAAAAAAAAAGATTATAAAGGGACATTGAGCTGAGGGTCTATCGGAAAACAACCTCTACCTCCCAAGATAGGGGGTAAAGGTCTGTGTACACTCTATCCTTCCCATATCCTACTTATGAGATCAGTGTGTTGTTCTTGTTGTTGTATTGAGAGAGTTCGATATTGATTTTTAGTGACATACAGGTCTATAAAAACTATGCAAAGAAAGACAAGGAAAGGCACCAGAAGGAATGGAAGGAGTATAATGAAATAAGGATGACTGCATCGTCTTGCAACTGAAGGGGACTGACTGGGAGAAGAGAAGGAGCAGAGATATAGTTCATTTTGCATTGTAATGTAGTTCCAAAACTGCAGCTCTTTCTGTGGATCAAAACATTGCTTATGTAAGATAGTCGCAAACTATTTCTAAAAGTGTTGTTTCTCAAACTATTGTTTTCGTAGATCAATTCTCATGCTTATAAGATGGTCTGTGTTATAAATACATCATATTGTGGATGCTCATTACACAATTTCCTGGATAATCACCTTGATGTATTGTTGGGAATCTGTCTTTATTCAACCCGTAGGTGAGGGTGTAGCTAGTCTACGACAACAACATAGTAATCCCACGAGTGGGGTCTGGGGAAAAGAAAACTGCAATGTCACAAACAACACAATGATACAATAAACGATTTCAACAAGTCCTAGGAAGGAGGGGGTGAGGTCTGCATTTCAACTACCTTCTTCCATGACTCTCGGTTGGATATGTCACCCCACCACCTTCCCACGTTCTCTCTTGAAGTGAAGAGCTCTGCTCTGTCTGTTCCGTTCACCAAGTATTGAATGTTTGGAAGGTGAGAGAGATCGGCCAATGTGAACTCATCTCCAGCCAAGTACTGACTATCTCCGAGCCTCTTTTCATACACATCAAGTACTTTTTTGAGCTTCTCTTCGTTCTGTCTGATCAAGTTCTCGTCTTGTTTGAGCTTCATTCGCGGTGCAAAAGCCAGCTGGAATACAAGAACTGAACTTGGTGGATTGAAGCTTTGTCCTTCTGCCTCTATCCATTGATCTATAGACGCTTTCTCTAACGGGTTTGTTCCATATAATCCCTTGTTACCTTGACTTCCGTATTTGTCACATATGTACCTATTTATAGATCTGGATTCTGGATTTACCAAAAGCACAGACAGACAACAATGTAAACCCAAATTTTAGTTAGTATAAGCACTATGAAACAGTGTAAGCCGCAAATTCCATATTAGTATGAGCATCATGAACACATACTAGACGTATAAGCATCATCAACAAGAACACCGCATAATAAGTAACAGCATAGGGCCCAAATTCCACACTAGTATCAGTGGCGGAGCCACTGGAAAATCACATTGTTTAGCTAGGCCCAAATTTTAGTTTCATTTATATAAACTATATGTTGATGACTCCCGTTATTTTCTAGTTGTCATTGTGACTAGTATAGGCATCATCAACAACGTCACATCATAAGTTACAGTGTGAGCCCCGAATTCCATACTAGTATAAGCATCATGAACAGTAAGGTAAGACCTAATTTCCATACTAATATAAGCCTCATTAACAACAATGTACAATCCAAATTGCATACTAGTATAAGCATCATGAACAATACTGTAAGACCCAATTTACATACTAGTTATCTGGGAGGATAAGATGTACGCAGACCTTATCTATACCTATTTGAGGTAGAGAGGTTGTTTCGGATAGACCTTGGGTTCAGAGGAAGCATAATCAAAGCAGAATTGAAAGGAAAATAACGATAGCAAAATGACAAGAGAAACAAAGCAAACGTAGCAACAAGTATTAACAAGAATTGAAGAATAAGATACTACGCAAATACTAAAAGTTACTACCAGATACAAAGAAGAGGAGACTAGCCCCTGCCTCTCCCACATAAAAGTACGACAACACTTGGCTTACCTACTACCTTAATCCTCCAAACCTTCCTATCTAGGGTCATGTTTTCAGTAAGCTGAATTGCGTTAAAAAAACAAGATCCCAATTTGTGCACTACTATAAACATCATCTATTCTTGGCAAATGCAGTTTAAAAATCCAATCTTTAGACTGGCCCATTACTTCCAGGGCTATCTATCTGCTGCAAGATTAAGAGGACTGAGCAGGGGGGATTTCAGATAATGGGGAAGATGAGACTAGGCCTCTGCCTCTCCCACTGAAAAGTACGACAACACTCGACTACCTTCAAACCTTCCTATCTAGGGTCATGTCATCAGTAAGCTAAATTGCATTAAACAACAAGATCCCAAATTGTGCACCACTATAAACATCAGCTATTCTTAGCAAATGCAGTTTAAAAATCCAATCTTTAGACTGACCCAATACTTCTAGAGCTATCTGCTGCAAGATAAAGAGGACAAAAAGTGTAATTACCAAACAGAGTGATGTCCTCATCTTGATAAGCTGGAACTTGACCAAAAGGCTGATGAAAATGAGAACATAGAAATCAGTAAAAGAAACTTGGCCCCTTTTTCTAAATTTGGGGGTAGGAGGGAAAATCGAACACTCGCAAATAAAGAGTCAATCAACTGAGCTACAAAGATTTCCGAAAAAAAAAACTTGCCTGAATTTTGAGATAGTCAGGTTTTTTGTGTTCCCCTTTTGCCATGTTAACTGGGATGAGCTGAAATTGGACATTTTTTCAAGAAGACAAGCTAGAACTCTTGACACTGCTGTTGATAAAGTTGGTCCGTACACTTTCACCGGAGTAGCCATCGGAAAATCAAGAAAGTAAACTAGTGTTGTTCCTTTCTTTGTGGAATTTATATTTGCTTTTTATAATCTTTATTCAGCATATTACACATTATCCATTTCTTCATCAACTGGTTAAAGTGGGTCCACCAATTTTAATTATTTTATTTATTTATTTTTAAAAAAGTGTTATTAGTGGATAGGTGTGGTAGGCAAAATTATTAAAATGATTTAAATATTCAACTAACTTTTTTTAATGCTAATATTCCCTGTATCATTTCAATTCCTTCGATGTCTAAAAGGGAGATTATTCAACTAACCTCATAATCATAAATATTTTGATTGAATTAGTATTATTTCAATTCTTTCGATGTCTAAAAGGGTGATTATTCAACTAACCTCATGATCATAGATATTTTGATTGAATTAGTAAAAACTTTTGTTTCTAACAGTGACATATTTTGGCAAAGAAAGAGGATTTCCTTTTAAATCAAGTCTGTGTGAATTTGAATTAGTTGAGGATCGATATAATAAGCTTGGAATATCATATCATTTAGAAAAGAACTTTTGTGAGATTTGTTAAGAGTTTCACTATAGTATGAGTCCTTTCTTTATATTGGCTTGCACAATTTTTTCATTATGACCAAAATTGTGAGTAATTAGTTAAGTTCAAGATCCAATTAAGCAAGTTAAACCTTGTTACAATGAACATTTGGCCTAATAACATCTTATTACAATAGTTTTATAACATCTAATTAGTAATTACAATCTATGTATGGACTCTGTGACATCTAATAACAATGAACAAAAAACCACCTCAACCATCTTTAGATCATCTTTAGTGATCGTCTTTTCGATCAATTAAGCACACGTTGTCCAGTTAGAAGGAGCTCTCGTTGACGATAATGGTGGGAGGTTATGAATGTTGACATCGAGAGGTAGCATACGATATTGGATATCGAGCTCCCTGAATGTTTTCACCATTTCTTCAATAAGAAGAGCTCTTCTCGCCCACCTCTCTCCCATGTCTTGGTGATTCATCGTGTGTGAGAGCCACACTGACCACTTTATCCCGTTCATGTCTTCCACGTCTCTCATTACAATCATTGGAGCCGGATACCAATGATCACTCCTGTTTTCGATATACCTGCCAGTACAGAAGACATAACCATAACTAATCGAAAAAAGGATGGAAGAATATCAAGAACTTATCATGATCAAGCTAAGACACAAGTCAAAAGTACTCTTCCTTCGCACATTTTTATATTACATGCCAAGCCAATTATACTATTAGATCTTCAATTGAACCACTGTATAATGTCTTTGTTCCAATATCTTTAGGCTGTTATAACGAAATGTTGTTATATTGAACATAATATGAAAATCAGTTCCAAAGAGATATGGTCGTTATAGAGAGGTCTGTCTATAACAACGGTCTTTTTTTCCATATATCCAGTAATAAGAATAAGAATTCTGCGAGTGAATAAGAGCACATTTTTGTAATGCTTAATGCCAGTAAAAAGCAAGAGAGATCATTATAGCTCAAAAGTCCAAAGTTAAAACAGCTCGAACTTATAAAATGAACATAGATATCGTAGATATATATACCTCGTTATTTTCTCTTTCATCATAGCAATCTTTTCCATGGGAGTTGAGATATGAATGGAGAAATCGACTGAATCTCCCATGTCTGGACTGCGGTAGTAATTACTGATGGGCTTCGTCGATAGGACACTATTTGGATATATGATCTTCTGGTTATCATATCTTAGGAAAACTGTAGTCAGTATATTCATCTCTTCAACTACCATCTGAAGCACAATCATCAAATAAATGCTTTAGTATATACGAGTTCAAACACACACAAAAACATATGCTTTGAAACGGAAGAATTTCTTGCCTGAACTCCATCAACTTCAACACGATCGCCTACATCAAACGGGTGCATCACAAATAAAAAGATGATTGCCTCAAATGTCGTCTTGGCTGAGTTTCCGAAGATGAATACTACTAGAAGAATCTGAGAACTCAAAAAGACCAAGAAATGCATAGTAGCAACTCTGAGTATAAGGAGCCAGATGACCAATATGATTATTGCCACAAGGACATTTAACATTTGATGAAGCTTGTTTACAGCAGTCTTAGTGTCATTTAACGACAGAGCAAGCGCCCTTCGCTCTCTAAATGCATTCACCTGGAAGAAAAATACAACGTTAAACGTTCAAATCTCATCATACTAGTGCTAAATTATGCTCGGACTCTTCAAATATTGTCAATGGGTGCATGTTGGATTCTCCAAAAGTAGTGTATTTTTGAAGAATCACACGGTTGTGGCATCGAAAGTGAAGAGTCCGTGCAACTTAGACTAAAAAACAATACTTTTCTTTAAAAACATGATCTTCATTTTGTGGCGATGACTTGAAATGAATACCAAAATCGTCATTTTGAGATGAATTCGGACTGATCTAACCAAGAAAAGAACTGGACTTTCTTTCTTAAAGAAGATTGGCAAAGTTGCATACTCACCGCCCAACTTTTCAGAGCACATTTACTTATGCCTTTGGTTTCAGTTCCACTTTCAATAAGGCACATTGTTTTTGAAGCCTCATCTTCTCTCATAAAACGCATCAAGTCCTCCAAATAGATGAACCTAATGGTAGTCACACATAGTATGAGCATAGATATATAAAGATTTCAACTTCAGTATTATAACATAAGAATTTAAGGCAATAACTAATTGTTGTTAACACCGACAGTACGAAGAGATAGGTGAGTTACAATAAGGGATGTAAACTTTTCTTTTTAAGGAAATAACTTACTTGGACCCAGGCTTAGCTACATTGTTAAATATCTGCTTGGCTGCAGCTTTCGCCTTTTTTTCACTAGTGATCTGCACAGCAGTTTCATCCTCGAAATTCGACTGTGGTAACTTCTCATCCAAAGTTGACAGCACACCATTTCGAACCATATTCATCAGCCTTTTCATATTCCAAGCAGAAATGTTCTTCTGATTCAGTCTATGCAGATGATCTATAGTAATTCCACCCTCCTTTTCTTTTTCCTTCTCGGAAATAGCCCTCGAAAATGCAGAACTCCTCGGAGTAGAACCCGTAGGAGTCTTCCGTGGTGTTCCAATCAGTCTCTTTGCAAATATGCTTGCCTTTAGATCAGCAGGCAATGTAGCCCCAGCACTCTGAAGCTTCTCCACTTCAGCCATAACTTTCTCCTCCTCCTCCTCGTGATCTCGCTGATCAATCTCAACCAATGCAGGCCCAGACAACGTCTCAATCACATACTGATTAAACAAAGATTCTTGAATTCGATCGAAGAATGTACTAACATGAAATGACATAGCTAGTACCTTCACAAGAAGTGTTTTCAACAACCAAATGTATGCACCAACCAAAAGACAAATCCAAATGCTTGACACATAAGGCAAAACCTTCCCACCAGTCATTTTATCAACTTTTTTATCAAAAATACACAGCCAAGCAATCAAAACCAAACTCAACCAAATGCAATTCTGCACTGAATTCCTCAATCCATACACGAAATACAAAACGCGTTTTCGCAACAAAAAATTACTCTCAATGAAGAACACAACCAACCTTATAACCCAACCAGAAAACAATCTTCCACAAATCAACACCAAAATCATTACTTCCCATTTCCACAATTCAAGCCCAAAAGCCCTCTTTTCCCTCAATACACTAAACACAAAACTACAACTTAAAACAGCAATAATCACAACTAAACTCACCAGCTGAAGAACAGTTAATAAACTAAACTTCACTTTCTTGAATTCCTCAGGTAAATCCTCATCTGAAAAGGGGTCCTCTTCTTCAATTTCACTATCTTTTAACAAAACCCCAGACCTCTGATCTTGCTCAGGTGGTTCCATTAGCCTTGATTTTGTCCTGTTAACCAAAAGATTAGATTTTTTCCTAAAAGAAGAGGTGGAACTGCAAACCAAAACTTCTTGTTGTGAACATGGTGATTCTGTGATAAAGTTGAAATCTTTATCATTACTGTCATTCTTGGTGAAATGGGGTTCTGGAGAAATGGACAATTCAGTTTCTTTTAGGGGTTTTGGGGTTTCTCTAAACATGGAAAGATTAGATTTTTCAGTTTGGTTTAAGAGATTTTGATGTTCTTCTATTTCAGATTTGAAAGATTTTTTAAGTTTTTCCATTTCAAGAAGATAAAAAGTTGAAAAAAGGGGAAGGTGATTCTTGGCTTGTTCTTGAATGAATCACTATTATCAAGAAAGAACAAAGTAACATGGAATAAAGTGGGATTTGTAGTGTCTGAAAAGATGTATTACAACTATTATTCCTCATTTTTTCTTTTGTGGTTTTTGAAGATGGAGGAAGAAGATTCTGGAGAAAAATGAAAGAAAGAAGAGATGATGATGGAAGATTCATGCATTTTCTTTCTTAAAGCAACTGAAAGTGTCTATCCATCCGTCCACTTTTACTTGTTTACTTCTCAAGGGATAAGGTATATGTAGCCTAGATTATGATCAAAATTGCAGAGTCACATTTTTAACTAAACTAAGGTTCTATTACCCCTGAACCAATTTATTTTGTAATTTTGTAAACCTTTTTGACTTATGTGGCATCAAAATATCTCAAATGCGTCTCAACTGCGTGGAGTCACGGAGTCTGCCATGTAAGCCAAAAGGCGTACAAAATTACAAAAAAGAAATGAGTTCAGGGGATAATAGGACCTTAGATTAGTTAATGTGTGTCTCTGAGATTTCGATTATAGTTTAGGGGATACTTGTGTCTTATCCCTAATTAAAATAAATATTCTTAATAGTTTTATTCTTAATGTCCAGATTGATTTTGATCACTTAACTATATATTTCTTCTTGATTCTAGTTTTAAAAAAAGTAATTTCTGAGTTAATAACTATTAGTTGAGTGTTTATATATGAACAAACAGGGTGAGTGTAGACTTCTATTAACAGCTAACAAATCTGCAGTCCAGACTAAATATTTATACAATATGATCATGTCAGTTACAAAGTACTTACATGTAAATCCCAATGATAAAACATTAACCTAGTAAAAGTTGTAAGCTAATCTACTACCACAGATCATAGTTATACAACACTGATAGTTTAAAAAAAACGAAAATTACACTGTCAGTATATATAACTTAATGTGTGTTATGCATTCTGCTTCCTCAATGGTTATCCAAGGCTTCTTCTTTTGCTACTTTTCTCTTCTTCAATCATCTGTGTTTAAGCAGAGCAATGCTACTTCAATTCAAGTTTTTACAAACACAAAGCAAATGCAGAAATCACATTGAAATTGATTCTGCTACCACGACGAGTACCTTTTTGGTCATGTGTTGCAGGATGTCAAGTATCTCGGAGAACTCAGGTCTTAAGAGCGGTTCTTGCTGCCAACATTTCTCGAGCAATTCCACCAACATTGGATGAGTGTTTGCGGGAATTGTTGGCCTTAGACCCTATAGTTTGTATGTTAGGAAATTCGACTAATGTAGAGAGCACAACCTCATCTATACAAAATCTGTTTTTACTGCTAAGTTTTCTGTGATTGCATACGAGTTATTAAGTAGAATCGTTCAAAATTCAAGAGGGCGAATGAGAAATGTAATACCTTCTGAACCACAGCCACTGCAGCTTGTAATGGGGTCAAGAACTCGTAAGGAAGCTGATATGTTAACATCGATAAAAACGATTATTGACACTGAAAATTTTTGAAGCCAAGAAAATGCTCATGAGGAAACAAAAATGATGTACTACTGAGTTAGTAAAATATGTAACAAGAATCCATTTGCCTTATAATAAACTTGTCAATATGAAAGTTTTAAGCAAAATGCTAATAAAACACACATGAAGAAGCTATGTTAATGATTGAAATGGATGAATCAACGAACGAAACATTATTACCTTTCCTGTTAACAGCTCCCACAGTACAATCCCGAAGCTGAAAACATCAGCTTTTCGATCATAAGGTCTATGTCCAATAACCTTTGTAATATCAAACAAACGAAATAAAACTCAGGAGGTTGATGTGAAGAACTTGAGACTAATGTTATGTTATGGAAGCAAGATAACTGTTATAACTCCCTCCGTTTCAATTTGTTTGTCTGGTTTTGACTTGTCATGAAGTTTAAGAAAGTGAAGAAGAGGGAGGGAGGGTCGACCTCAGGAGCCATCCATCGATATGTTCCTGTTTCTGCAGTCATTATACCAGACTGAACTTGCACACAAGCAACACCAAAGTCAGCAACCTTCACAACCTATAAAGCACAATATGTAAGCAGTCTGTATAGAGTCTTTTTACATATAAGGATCGATCACCAAGAAATCGACTTCATTTCTTACTTGATTTTCATTCATTAAGAGATTGGCAGTCTTTAAGTCTCTATGGATTATATTATTTTGGTGCAGATAGCTCATCCCCTTTGAAACATCAATAGCAACCTTGACTAACACCGGAAGCCTGAAAAAACCTTTCGTTTTATGCAGAAAATCGTAGAGACTTCCACCGGACATAAATTCTGCATTGAAGGTAACATTTGAAGATAGATGAGAGAAGTCTATTCCGGTACTGAAAGAGTAAAACTGGACAATTAATCTTTTCTAGTGATTACCTGTGATTATACATAATCGTGGAGGTTTCGTGCATGCACCAATAAATTGCACAACATTCTTGTGGCGGACTTTCCTGTAAGTACCAGGAAGAGGTGATCAGGTAGTGCACACACACACATAGAAGTTGATAGTAGTAAATTTGCAGCAACCAAACAGGACATAATGCTATCGTTCGAACCTTAATATATAAATTTCTTGTGCAAAATCTCTTTTCATATCTTCATTTAGGCACTCAGACTTGAGAACCTTAATAGCCACTTCCTGATTATGGAATAAGCCTTTATACCTGCAAATACGATAAATCGTTAGGCCACAGTCAGTGACTATATTGTATTCTTGATTCAAAGTTGACATTTTTACTGACAAATCACCAGTTGAGCCAGTTGCAATTTTATATTCATAATTCAGCAGTGCATTGTCGATTTCCCATGCTTCACTCCCATTGCTTGATGTATCTACATGGTTCGCGGTGATGTTGATACCAGTTTGTACAAACTTCATTTTGGGGAACAAAAGGTCTTGATTTAACCCCGGCTGTTTCATCGTTACATTGAGTCTGTCAATGACTTTTACCTCCATATTTGATATTTCCTTCAACAGGACACTTCTTAGCTGGTCAGTTTCCTAAGAATGACAAAAGAGACAAAACGTAGAGACTTATAAGAAGATATATCGAGATGAAGTACCTCAATTTATATGTTCATCTAAATAAGTACCTCATTTTCCCAACCATCAACCACAAAGACATCCAAGGAGTAACCGTCTTTCGTTGAGAAAGCATGAGCTTCTTGAATGTTCAATCCAATCTCCGAAAGTAAAGAAGTCAACTGAAATAAATGTGCATTAACCTTAATCGATATATCATGTAAAGAACTTAATAGAGAATGTTAGGAGAGGGAAAATGTCTGAACAAATGGCTATAAGTGACACATTAGTTTGGCAACATAGTGGTAAACTACTTACGAAGACACAGAACTACTAATATAAGACTGCAAGAAGAACTCGAAAATATGACAAAAAATTTTAATCCTGACAGCAGCATCAGAAGGGGATGTTTTTATGTATTGACAAACTGGAGCTGGTCACTGCACGAAATGAAAAGCAAATTTTCTTCTTAACTTGAAAATAGTAAAATTCCGGAGAACCAGGGTATGTAACATCATTCTATGAGAGTACATAGAGATTCTTGAAAGAGGTATAATGTTGACATAGAAAAGGCTTACCCGAAAGAGGAGTTTGGGCTTGTCAAGTGTTGAAATCGTTATTTCATACAAAGTCCTGCGAAACACAAGTAAAGAAGATAGAATTAATAAATTCTCCCTGATTATAACAGCATCATAAATTTGCAAAATTTTGACACACGACGATTAAGGAAAAGAACAAAGTGAAAGCTAAATCAGGAGAAATGTATCAGAATATTACTGAAATGACAGTGAATTTCCACACACAGCACTATTTCCATCTTGAACATATAATTTATTAGTTCCTAACGCGAGCTCTGTGCTTGGCGACAAACCAAAGGCAGGTGGAGGATGCATGCTGTAAATTTGAAAATGAAAAGTAAAAAAGTTGAAGATTTCATCACTATACTGAACATAGTAAAGAGAGTTCAGATATATTTAAATTTGAATCGTCGTATCTCTACCTGCCATGGTGATCAATACGTTGTGCATCTCCCCTTCTCGAGAAAGTGGAATGAACTGAATCCCCGGGATTTCCATCAGATATTTGATGAATCTGGATAGCGGAAATATCAAATGAACAAGCTTTTATTCAATTTGCTTCAATCATATATGCTAATCAAAAAATGAAAAACGTAAAAGAAAATCAAGAGAAATTGTAAATGTCACAGTTCAAGTCCATGGCACGTATTTGACAATTTCCGTTGAAGTGACAATTTAATCAAATATTACTACGTCCATGATTGAGTTCAAATAATTACATAAGACATGTATATTGACATAATTTGGTCATCATAGAAAGAATGAAGAGCGAAAGTTGGACAATAGTACTACCTGCACTAGGCGGACTTCAACTGCTGGCGCGGGATTCTGATAGTGTGCCATTTGCAGCAAGTTCTTGTGCATAACAACATCTTGTGCCCTCTCAATATTCACATCCACTGCATACCTATATTAGCCATCTTTGAACTTATGATAACTCGGAAAATAGAGTAACAACCCATTAAACTACTCACCACAAACAAACTCTTGGCACCGGTATAATAGACTTATAACTTAGCTCCCATTTTGGTCATAGATTTTGAAGTTGAAACTTGAAATTTTGAGGGGTCTGGGGAGGGTAGAGTATACAGAGATCTTACCCTTACCTCAGAGGTAGATAGGTTGTTTCTAATAGACCCTCGGCAGAAAGACAAACAGTCCAAAACAGTCCCAAGAATAAAAGAAATAACGGAAGTACAGGAAACAACATATAATAACAAAAACAGCAAATAGTAACAGAACAGAAACTACAGCAAAACAATACGAGAATCTAGTAACAAGAAACAACAGATAGTAACAGAAATCAAAGGACAAGAAACTACAAGAAAAAGACCCTCGGCTCAAACACAAACAGTCCCAAAAAGAAAAAGAAGTAACGGAAGTACAAGAAACAACAGATAATAACAAAAACAGCAAATAGTAACAGAACAGAAACTATAACAAAACAATATGAGAATCAAGTTACAAGAAACAACAGATAGTAACAGAAATCAAAGAACAAGAAATTACTGAAAGAGTAATATCACAACTTCTGATATGAACGGACAACAAGACTACTAGACATCATACATGGTCTGATCCCGTTTGAAGATAAATTTACAAAATATATGGTCAAACGCTATCTTAAACTTGAAAAAGAAAGATTACCTTAGAGGAAGTTTAGTGAAATGAGCCCACAATTCATCCTCAAAACCAGGTTGATTCACTTCTTCATCATTCGACTCTCTTAATCTTCGAATCACTTCTTGAAACACTTCAACTTTCTCTCTTCTCTTTCGAGTACGATTCTGAGACAACTCCAATAATCCTTTACTACTGCAACTCACAGAATCTTCCATCATCCGAAAAACAGAATCAGTTTAAGAAAATATTAAAAAAAATGAATGTGAATATACTCCTCTTATTCAAATTCTAATTAATTTATCACAAGAAAAAAGGAGGGTACAGAGAAAACTAGTTAAAAATTTTAAAAAAATGGAGTAGTTGAAGACCTACTACAATGTACATATATTCTTTATATCAGTTGCTTACATCATGAAACAGATATATAAAACAAAACAAACAAAAAAGCAAGTAAGAACACAGTTTATAGTCTCTTATTCTTCAATGTGTATTACTATCAGTTGTTTTGCGGGGTAGAGGTAAGGTATGGTTACAACCTATCCTTCTCAGACTCCACTTTGAAATTACATTAGGTATATTATTGTTATTATTTGTAACTAACTTTTGTTCGAATTCTATAAATCAAACGGGAAAAGGGTACAAAATGCTCTTATGTGAAATTGAACTAAAATGATTTCCGTTAATACTTAGATCCATAAATACCGTTATTGAAGGATGTGGATTCAAACAAGGTTTGTAAGCTTTGTTTTTATCACCAAATTGTCTTATAGCTCTTTTTTAATTCTTAATTTAACTTTGTTTAAGAATTATATCCATTTCATGAATATTTTATTGGATTTTAAAATTGGAATATATAGAGCTTGATAGTTACTCACAACCACAACCTTGTTTCTTCTTGTCCAATAAGATTATAAACTTGTCTCATTTTCCACTAAAGAGATTCTATATATGATGACACCATCAAAAACTTTTTAAAAAACAAATATGCATTATTTTTTCTTCATGTTGATAATTAAGAATTTTATGTTGGTGCAATTAGATTCATTTAATAATTAATTGGATTGATTACCTCATTGCTTGAATCACTTGTATAGTATCTTATTGGTTGGAAAAATACTGATGTTAATGGAAGTTAGAAATAGTCTGCAACATTTAAATGAGCTACTTTAATTCGTTGTATTGATTCAAAATCTAAAGAAATGAAAATATAGTATATATAAATAAATTACTTGTCCATTTTTTAAGAAAGGGAAAAGGCTCAAATACTTTATCGAATTTTGAGAAAAAGGTTCATTTATGCTATTTATTAAAATATTGGTTAATTTATGTCATTTCTGTTTGAGAAAAGGCTAATTCATACCATTATTTGTTGATCGATATGGCATAGATGAGCCAAATTAACTTTTAACGGATGACATAGATGAGCCTTTTCTCAAAGTTTGATGGCATATTTGAACTTTTTTTATTTAAAAAATGATTTAATTAATGATGTGCCGGAATCATAATTGACCACGTGTAAAAAATTGTTTTGCAAAATCGAAATTGTTATCCGTTAACAAATAATGACATGGATGAACCTTTTTTCTCAAATAAAAATGGCATAAATGAGCCAACTTTTAATGGATGGTATAGATGAGCATTTTCTCAAAATTCGATGACATATTTGAGTTGTTTCCTTTTAATAGATACGGGACTCTAACTTATTATAATGTCCTTTCATGTCCGGGTGCAAACTGGAGCGTAGATCGGGAGTTCAAACAAGGATAAAGTTCACTATACAACACTTGGACTTAACTCAAAGGTAGCTCAGGAGAAGAGAATTAATGTCTAAGTCGATATAAACAATCATTAGTTTATTTCCCAATCAATATGTAACTCTAACCCGCTCTAACATCAAACATAAACCTCTTATCGTGATTGTGGGATCATCCCAATTCAATATTTTCAATCTCAAATATCGATATATCTATCTAAATTTACCAAAATTTAAGCAATGAAGATTAAAATCAAACGTTTTAATTTTGAATCCGCCTATGTAATCGGGGTTGGATGTGGGTGGGAAGGGGACCATGTGGATATCCCTCCATCCACTAATCTAGAAGGTTGAAAAAAAAATTATTTGTTTTTTTTTCTTTCGTCACACTGCTTTTTCTCCAAAGTTAGTGGTACTACACTTTTAATACTTGTTCCCCATTAGCCCTTTTTCCCCTCTTGTTCTTATGTTACAAACAATATAATATCCCTTTTTTTCAAAATGAATTTTTAATCTATTTTGAAACAGATAAGTGAGGATTGCTTCAGTGGTTGATCACATTTATCATCAATTAGTAGATTGACGGTTCAAGTCAACTAGTTAGAATGTAAGTAGAAACACTACCGATCCTTCTGATTGATGGAATGCAAAACTAAATTTTAAATTCTATTTTTAAATTTGAGGTTGAAATAATGAATCATATGGTAAAACATACTATATCGTGTCTAAAAAGGTAGCCCTTAGAAAATCCATCGAAAATTATTTGAATAAATAAGATATTACGATAACTTATGACTTTTGGCTTATTATGATTTCAAAAGGAAAAGAAATTTGGTGTTTGGATTCACTTCTAAAGATATCAAATAACAGCAAAAAATGAAAGGAACACTTCCTAGTGTTGGGGTTTTGTCTTGATTTTCTTACCTTATTTTAAGTTTATTTTTTCCTAAAAGAAAAGACAAAACATTAACATAAATGTTTTTACTTTTCCTGAAAGGAAAATATAATATTCTTTCATATTTGGTTTATTCTCTCCTTTTAGGACTCTTTTTCTAGTAAGAAAAGGTTTTAGGACTCTATAAATATAGGTTTGTTTCTTCTAACACAATAACAATAACATCCACAATGTAGACGTTTAAGAATTTAGTTTATGGGGAGATTTATTCTTTCTAAAGTTTATAATATTTTTCTTTTATATTAGTTTTCATATAATAATATTATGTTTTTAGTATAAGTTTTTGTTATCTGATTTATCAACTATATGATTTGCAAATTGTAAGCTTCCGCATGACGCTCAATCACCCTTCAGAACCCAACACCTAGTACATGTTCATTGTCATACATATGTACATATTTTAAATTCCTATTGACAAACTACACTTCTATATAGTTACATTACAAGCAAATCTAAACAATTTTTCTTTGAGACTGCAGTAATTCGAGTTTTTTCCTGTAAGACGGGAGCCAAGCTCAACGATATTGACAACATAAACGTACTCCATGTCGAATTTAAGGCTCTTCGAAGTCTGAATTGCTTAGGCTGCAATCGATTACAGGACAAGCTGAACTTATCATGAAGCTTTCAATGAAGGCTATCATCTGCATAAGCATTGATAATATTAAATTTGAAATTCATTAGAACCAACATTTCATAAGTATCCAATACTCGAATGTTTATTCAACATGCTTGAGATAGTATATGAACACAAGAAAAGAGGAATGGAGACTCTAAATTGAAACGAAAACGTTCACATTGCAGTGTAGGCCTCAGCAATGCAATTCTACTAATGTCATGTAACATGTTCAGGTTTAATCTGTTTTATACGTGTGTTTCCCCGTTCTCTCCTGATACGAGGACTCGAGGAGGGAGGAGGGAATAGGAAAGGAAATCGAAGATGCAATTTCAGAAGCCAAAATCACTTACTAAAGCAAATGCAGCACAGGCTAGTCCGAATCCTGGGAAATGGAAAGGTGCATGATCTGATAGAAATAAAGCTGGAAAAAAATTGACACCTTATTAACAATCAGATTAAATGGACTTTGTATATCGCGAACACGAGGGGAGAAAAACAAAATCCCAGTTTAGATACCTGTTAAAGGACTGAAAATTAATGGGGAAACTACACTCGCGAAAGAACATATGCCTGTTATGCATCCTTGAACCTTTCCCTGAAAACAGGAAATAATAAAACAGATTTTGAAACAATGAAAACATGCTATATATAGCTCTACAACGACAACATATCCAGTGTAATCTCACAAGTTGAGTCTGGATAGGATAGAGTGTACAAAGACGTTATTCCAACTTGGGAGGTACAGAGACTGTTTCCAATAGACACTCAGCTCAAGTACAAGCATATCAAAGCAGATCGAAAAAGAAATAACAGTCATGGCAAAATACTGTAATCATTTTGATAGTAACTACAACAAAATAAGTGTGATAATCGAAGTACAAGAGACAATAGATAGTAACAGAAATCGACAGACAAGAAACTACACGAGAAATACATTAACAAAAGCATTTACAAGACAGAATACAACAAGGGAGAAAAAAGAAAACAGAGTTTTAACAAATATTGATAACAAACCTGTTCATTTGGACCAACTTGCTTGGATGCAATGCTCTTCAACTGAAATCAGGTACAACATTTAGTGATTTCTAACGTTAAAACTATCGAAAAACAAATGATTATAGATACGAGACTTACACAAGGCATCACGAAAATAGACATAACGGAGATCAAAGCGCTAGCATAAGGAACCTGCATTGGTAAAGTAGAGAATTAGCCATATCACGAAGAACATACAAGCTAGTCCCTCCTATCACTTCTCATTTTACCCTTAATGACATGATTTTACAGTTACTTAAAACGTCATGACATGTTCATTATTACAAGTTTCAAAAGCCTTTCTTGAGTACTCAAAAACGTTCATGTAAAATGAAATGGAGGGAGTAATAGATCACAAAAAGGGCTAAAAACATATAAAATAAATCAGTAAGGATGGAAGAAATTACCCATGAAGACCAAGCAATGCTGTAAAGTAATATCTGCATAATTGAATTTTTGAGTCAACATTAGTTAAATAAAATCTTTGAATGCTTTAAATTGATTATTTTTCTTAGAAGAATTATCCTAAATAGCTATCCACTCAACTGATTAAACTAAAAATAGCCATCGGGTGTATAATAAGTATATAATTCATGTATAACATGTGTATCATCATGTATAATCCTAAGTTGCGCGGACTCTTCACTTTCGATGCTGCACCCTTGTCGGAATCTCCAAAAATACATCAGTTTTGGAGAATTCGACACGCACCCATTGATATTTTTGAAGAGTCGGAGCAATGTAGGTATAATCTATGTATACCAACTAGAAAAAGTAAACAGTAAATCTGTCTGACTATTTGTGTGAAGATACCGTGAAAATATAGTCAAGGATAGAGTTAATACTGTACATGAACACAACTAAAAAAGAGTCCAACAGAGAGCAATTTCTCCTCTCCAAGAGCAGGAACTAATATGGGCATCAAAAGAAGCTGCAAGAATATTAAAACATTAAAGATATAATAAGTTCATTGAGAAGCAAAATGAAAAATAATATGAACATATAAAACAAAAAATAACCACCTGTGATATGGATCCTGCAATCCCAGAAATTATCAACAAATCAGCAAATTGGTTTTTGTTGAAGTGAAACTGAGCCTTCAAGAAATACTGCAAAAAAATGCACTTTCTCATGTATAATATATGTATAATCGATGTATACTGAAAAGTACGGACTGAATCCTACCGGCTAGTTGTGTAAAGATCCCAATATTATACTAGATAATTAGAGGTTTATTTAGACTAGAACCTACAAGTTCACGCGAACCAAGTAGCTTTTATCCATATTTCACTACATCAAAAACGATCTTTAGCGGCAATTAATTAACGGCAATAGCTTAACTGTCACTAATTATGTATTTTTAGCGCAATTAATACTTTTTATAAATGTCCCTAAATCCTATAGCGACATTGGATCCAATGTCAGTTAACTAATGTTGGTAAAGACTTTAGCACTCTTTGTTAATAAATATATTTATCACCACTAAAAGTTTGTTTTTATTGTAATGTCCTATACTACCGGCTAGTTATGTTAAGATCCCAATATTACACTAGACAATTAGAGGCGTATATATCTATAAATATTTAATTGTGAACTCATCTATTACTATATATTAACTTGAGGTTTCTACAGGAACTCATAAATTTCAAATCATGAATCCGCCTAAGTTAAATATTGAGGTTCCCACATTAATGGGAAGTAGTGAAACTTACAAGAAGAGAAGAATCAAGTCCAACATGTGCAACATTGGCAAAGAAAGAAACAATAGCTGCATGTAAGAATGTAGAGCTGCAATTTTTTTGCAATAACCATGATTAATAAGAAAGCCAAACAATATAAAAACTATAAAGCATGAACCGTTATGTTGCTTGAACTCTTCAAAAATATCGTCATATGTGTGTCAGATCCACCAAAACCAAAAGTAGCTCCATTTTGTATGATCTGACACAGATGCAACAATATTTTTAAAGAGTCTGAGCAATATCGAGTGAATTCACAATCTTACCTATTCCTTAATAAACATAACACATCATTGAAAGATGGCAATGTCTTGAATAATTGGAATTTATTCTTTGGAGCTTTTTCCAATAGACAAATTGTCTCAATTCCTTTAGTAGAAATTTGGTCTTTTATCAAAGGCTCAGGAAGAAACATTCTTGTGTATACAAGAGCTATTATTGCCACTATTGCAGCAACCTGTTGGTAACAATAGTTTAATTAAGTCGTATACAATATTATTATGAGTTTAGCTTCTATATACAGATAGTACGTATTCTGTATAAGAGGTAACTAACTAACTAACCTTTTGTAACATGTTCAATCGCGTTTCATTATAGTGTTAGTGAATATAAGTTAAATCGTAGTATTATTAGTACTAATATAGCATTAGACGTTTTTAAGACGTATCAGAATAAAACGAGTGTCACGTTCACATACTTGGAAAGTGGAAGCCGTGGAGAGAAAGCGAGTAGAGAGATTTCCACAGACAAAAGCAGAGGAGGCAATGCCTGATAGGACTCCAAAGACAGAGGCGCGACGACTCTCTGGAACAACATCAGCCTGAATTAAGTTATATATATCGTCAGTATATATATAAAAAAAGTTTATTGGATAATATATATATCGTTAGTATAAATAATTTTTACCACATAGGCAAGAGCAAGGCAATGAACATTTCCTTCACAAACTATAGCAACCAGAGTTTTTAGCACATAGTATGCATAGAAGAAGTATTTTGTCCTGCTGTATGCCAATATCACTGTCCACACAAAATTAGTCAATATATGATCAATATGTTTTACACAATTTGAGATTTAATCTCACTTTCATTTCATTTTTTTGAGTCGAGGGCCTATCGGTAACAATCTCTTCATCCCATAAAGATAAGGGTATAAGGCTTGCGTAAACCCCACCGCCTCCAAATCGCACTGGTGGAACTACAGTGAGTTATTTTTTGTATTGGTAAAATCACTATACTAAATTCATAAAACTAGTTTTTGTAACAGTAAACTATCATAACTTCGAAAACTTAAATTTACGTGTTTTAATTTCAAAATCTATAATCAAACGGGAGCGAAGATGGAGGGAATAGTAGTAGGTACCTAGAGGGAATATAGAAAGGGTCAAAGGGAGCATGAGCATTACTTTTCTTCCATGAGTGTCTGATAGATTCCCCAACACAGGCATTATAATTAGTGATCCCAAACCTATTATCTGCACCATCATCAAATAAAATTAAAATTTACCAACTCATCAATTTCACCAAAAATATTGTATTCATCATATCCAATAAAAAGTCTAAATTGTACCTGACAATGTGAAGAATTTTAGTATTATTTAAATATTGTTAAATGGATGCGCCGTTATATGATTTTGGGATTGAGTTAAAATCAATATCTATTTAACAATTATCACTCTATGAAAGTCGAAGTCAGGTAGGATTGAGGAGTTCATTTAAACTCTTTTTGGTAGAAAATTATATTCTTTATACATAGTTGAAATTATTTTTTTATTTTTATATATATATAGTAGATGTTAAACTTCCTTCTACTTTTTCATGTATTTACATCTTTATATGTTGAACCTGTTTAGTGAAAATCTTTGCTCTGCCACGAACTCCGTATAATCAAAATAAAAACAAAATAAGAGAGGAATATGGTAGCTAAAGTGGGGTAGGCATGTAAGATGAGACATTTGCATTACTTGACAAATTAACTATGATAATTTAAAGTTAAAACTAGCGGAAGTTTCCCTTTCTAAAGGCAATTTCATAGGAACTAGGGAAACTTCTCACTTAAAAACAAGATAACGTAGTCTTTTCTTATAATATAATCATCTCGTATTCGATATTTACTGATTCAATATATTAATTTTGAAGAAAGTACAAAACCAATAAACTCAATATTATAGCTCTCTCACCTTTATTTATAAAAAAAAAAAATTCATTCTCAAAATTTGAATTTCAAAATCTCGAGACAAAAATAAAGCGGTTGAGTAATGTATTATATGCATCATCATACCATGGGAGTGATGATTTTTTTTTTATCTGGCTATCTAGGATAGTGTCCACGTGTTTACATTTATTTATTTTTTTGTTTAAATATTCTTCAATTTAGGCACATACGTATAGAAATATAATTTTAGGATGGTTTATGACTAGATAAGGCACATGGGTAATTTAAAAAATGGTTTATTATAAACACTTCTATAGTTGTAACTTTAAGTATGTTCTTCTCTATTTATTTATTTGTTCTTTTCCACCTTTTTTGATTCCCTTCTAAACAAGTTCAACAAGTACTCTCCCTTTGAAGTGTATTAAGATTCACAATTAAACTTAACTCTAAATAATTAACTTGATGCATGACAGATATACAGTGATGGATTCAGAATTTAGAGTTAGTGATAATCGCAACTCATTATATGTATGTTTTCAAGTTATTCATTTTGCATATATCATAAGATTTGAGCAAAATGTGAGAGGCTAGAGGAAAAGTAGCTAGTGAGCCATTGATTTAAAGTGTATGGCTCTATTAAGTGGAAAGTATTAAAAGGGTGGAAAACATGTCACTTTGGAACAATAAGGAAATTAAAGTCCCTCACTTTTTTTAATTAAATTGAAAATACAACTTTATTATATGAGCATTATTCATATATAAGACGAAAAAAAAAGTAACAAGTCACCTTCTATGAATTCCAGCTAAGAAATAAAAAAACAAAAAAAAAAAACACAAAAACTTAAGACATAAGCAAAATTACAAGTATTAGTGCCATTAGCCGGTAGGTTCAGAATGAGTGTTATTTTATTAAACGTGTAGGTACATTCTAAATTGTTTGTACATGCATACATAATTCCAATTGAAAAACCCCTTGTTGCCACGATTCATTGTGATTCATCAACACTTAATATCAACAACAAAAAAAGGAAAATAATAAATTCAGTTGAACTCACAGAACTGTTAATTTATTTAGGGAAAGAATAAATACCGTGTGTTGAATTCCGGTGAGATATATAGCAATGGAGCATTCATCTTTTCCAGGACAAATGGCTGACATAGTAATATCAGTAATGGATGGAATCACCATGAATATAGAGAAACAATGGAGAAATACTGTCATGAAGAGATGGCTTAGACCATTATTAGACAAATTTTCCATATCTTCAAAATTATTATATTGAAACAAAGAACAAAAAATGAGAAACCCCTATAGAGTACAAGAAGAAGTTTAAACATATATATATAAAAAGAAAATTAGTTTTTTTTTTTTTTTGGTGATGTTTTATCTTAATTTTGTTGTGATTACTTTTGGATTATCTTTTTCTTGTCTTCATGCAAAGTTAGCATGACTCTTGGGGAAAGTGTTATTTGCTGGCTCTAGCTTTATTATATTAGTTAAAAATAAGGAAATAAGAGGGAGAAGAAAATGAAATATGTGTGATGACAAGAGAGTAAAATAAGGAAAAAAGAAAGAATAAGGTATATATTTGCTATATTTGATAATGAGACATGAGGGGTTTGGGGGTGAGGGTGTTAGAGGTATTTTTATCGTGGTTAGAAGTTATGATGGCAAAAATATAGTTTTTGAATGTTTATATGTAAATTTTGAGGATAAAGGTGAAAATAAGAAGTTTCATAGGTTAGTCAAAGTGAGAGAAAGGAAGGTTCGAGATTTGGATCAAGTGAAGTACATCAGGGACAAGGATGGTAAAGTGCTGGTGGTGAGATTTGGGACATTTCAAGAGGCATTGCGATTTTGAGTATTGTAGATGTATATATGGTAAGGAGGTTAAGGGTATTATTCATGGGGGGGGGGGGGGGGGGGGGGAGCGATCATATGATATTTCAATGGAATTTGAAAGAGTGCAGATAGGGCGGGTATAGAATGGTGGACTAAGTTGTTAATATGCGGACGGATAGAGATGGAGTATGATGATTCCTTTGTATAAGAAACAAGCGTGACATTCAGAATTGTAATAATTATAGAGATATCAAACTGCTAAGTCACACTATGAAAGTGTGGGAAAGAGTGGTGGAGCTAATAATTAAGGGTGAGGAGGGACATTTCTAGTTTCAAGAACCAATTCAGATTCATGTCGGATCGTTCAACTACTAGAAGTCATTTCTTTGATTAAGAGACGGGTGAAGTAGTATAGAGAAATCAAAGAAAAATAGATCACCTTCACATGGTATTCATCAACCTAGGAAAAACTTATAACAAGATTCCGAGAGAGGTTCTATTGAGGAGCCCATCCCAGAGGCTAAAGGTATTCCTATGGCCTTACGCTAAGGACAAGTGCGATGAAGCTAAGACCTAGTAAGAATTATATTTTTACTAATTTACCTTTTTAACTCTTTTTAACACACTATTTATATTCTTATCCATTAATTTCAAAATTAATAGTGAAGGAATTTTTTTGAAATTTTACAATATTTATATTTTGAAAAGGACTTAATTAAGAACAAAATTAAAAAAATTATATCTTTATTTTATAAATCAATAAATAATTTTGAATATATATATATATATATATATATATATTTAACAACGTGAACAATTAATACGGGGATGCAAGAAGCAATCATTAAAAACATAAAAACTCACTTCTGCTTACGCTTTGAGGCGTACAAGTTTTAACAATTTACAATCCACTCCACACACTTTGCTCTCCAACTACTTGGGACCCTCACTTTTCATACTACTATTAATTAACAAAATAAATTTTATATTTTCTCTGTCTCAATTTATGTGGCGTTGTTGAAATTTTGAGATTCAAATTTCTATACTTTGATAATGAATTCGGACATAGAAGCTCTAAGTTTTTTTTCTTTTGAAATAAAATCTATATATTTGAAAATTACGTAAAAGTAATATAAATTACAATAATTAACAACTTAAAATATTTGAAAGACATAATAAACTTAATTGACTCTTGAAGTTTGCCGCGTAATTAAATTGGGATCGACACTATTTGATGAATTTCTTACTCACAATTTTTATATTATATCACTCATAAGCAGGGGCAGAGCCAGCCTTCTGTTAGGGGGTTCATCCGAACCCCCTCGACGGAAATATTATTAACTATACATGATTAAAATTATTTTTTTATATATATAGTAAATGTCAAACTTCCATCAATTAATTCGTGTGTTTAGTTTTTCAGATTTTGAACTCCCTTGTGAAAAAATCTAGCTCTGCCACTCTCATAAGCATAAGTTGTTGTTTTGGTGTGTAGTGATCAATTAAGTATTTTATTCATGAATTATCAGTGAAGAAATCTTTATTATAGTAAATTACTTTACACTTCTTTTCCCATAAAAAAATTATCTTCTTCAAAAGGGTTTTATACTAAAATCTTGATATACTGTTATTTCTTTATATATCATATTGAAGTCTGATTAATTTGGACTTGTGCTGCATAGAGTCCAATCTGAAGTAAAAATATTTCCTACCAAGAATTTTTTTCATACTCAAAGTTCGAACCTCAAAATTTCTAATTAAAGAAGGAATAGTCTAATCCATTATAGGAATGATTTCATAGTATCACTGAATTTATAATATATAATTGTGGGTTACTTGCTATGGAGGTAGCCTGTTCCAGTTGTCTTGTTTGATGTGCATTAGTTTAATTGTGCATAGAATTTAAAAAAATTTAAAAAGACTTCTAAATCTTGTAACTTTAAATTAAAGGTATATACATCACTAATGTATCAAAATGTTTTATGAATCTCGTCATGTTAAGCATGTCATGTAAGATGCTCAAATTTAAAAAATTACTTTGTCGGTCTATAGAGAATATTAATAGTTTAGTTGGTTGGCTACCTGAACTCCTACCTTGTTGGCGAGGATCTGATTCCCCACATTGTAATCCCCTCCCCCATTTTAAAAAAAAGAAATACTCTATCGATCTAAGTAAACACTTTCTCAGGTAAGATATTCGAAAGAAAGAACATTCACATATTGGCCCATTAGTAAAATTGGATGCAGGAAATCGATACACATAAATCTCGATTGTTTTTAATTTAAACAGTTGGATAAATGGCTATATTGATTAATTCTTATTGTTGTTGGGTTGAATGTTGATTGTTGGTCCAAACTATAAGCAAGCCCAATTATCATTTACCAGTACATACACGAGCTAGTGGCCCATAATAAGGGCTAATTGTGAAACCAAATGAAAAGTTACATATTTAGCCAGTCGATTTAAATAATTATATTCGCTAATTCAATAACTAAAAATGTAAATTATTTTGTAAAAAAAAATGTATATATCTCATATATCATACATTAATGATTTTGTTTTATGAACGTTTATTTATGTTAACTTCTCTTTAAAGCATTGTATGCTTCGTTTATTCGTATATTTTACATGCTAATTCTAGTTTCAATTGCACTTGTAATTTATAATTGCATATCCTTTTCGATTAATCAAAAAATAATAATAACAATAACTTATGAAAATGTGTCATCGATCAATAGAATAAAATTTTCCTCAAAACATTTCTTTCGTGGAATTTTCTAAGAAGAATCCACGACACTACAATTGTACTACTATTCACATGGTTAAATTTTTGTCTACAAATTGCATCGCTTTAATGTGTTATCGTGATAAATAAGTAAATATATAGTATTACAAGAGCATTACATTATAATCAGAGCTATCTTAACCACTAGGCCACTAAAGCTATCGCTTGGAGCCTCATATTTTTTGGGGGCCCCAATTTAAAAAAATATACTTATACATATTACTTAAAATTATATGTATTTTTAAATTTAAAAAAAAGCATGTAAGGAGTATAGAAAAAAAACAAAATAGTGTTAGTTTTCTCCACTTTTCTAAGGGAATGAAACATTTTTTGAAAATAATTTTCTTAAGTGAGAAATTGTGTTTCCTTATTTATATATCTCCTAAAAATTTGACCTTATATTATTATTTATCTTATACTTATCTTTTTTATTCTCCATTTTATTATTTTTATTCTCAATATTGAACTCTCTCCTAAAAAAAATGATTTAATGTTGCTTACAAGTTAAAAAAGATCAAAATTTGCTTTTGAGTGTCTTCTTCAAAATTTTAAAAAGTGCAACAAGCAATTATTATATTGAAAGAACACAACACTATTTAAACATTATTATATCAACTTATCGAATTCGTGAGCCAGGTTTTATTATTCTGACTTTATTTTATAATTTTTCTTAAACGTTTGTTATTGTTGATATTCTTAGTTAGTAAGTATATATATTCTCGTTTTAGTTATTATTAAGAAAAATAATACAAGTAGAAGATTATGATTTAATGAAAATACTCAATCAAATAAAAAGACTTGATTCTTTTCCTAATGCGTATATTGGTTATAGAATAATGTTAACAATTCCTGTAACTATTACTTCAGCCGAAAGAAGTTTTTCGAAACTAAAATTGATAAAATCTTATATGAGATCAACAATGTGAGATTGAATGCATTAGCTATATTATCAATTGAAAAGGAATTACTAAAACAAATCGATTAGAAAACAGTAATTAATGATTTCACATCTAAGAAGACAAGAAAAATAGATTTTAAATAGATATATACATTATTATTATTATTATTTTTGAAAAAAAGAATTAAAAAAAATATTAGGGACCCTCTTTAAGGTTTGGCTTTAGGCCCCCAATCTTGTTGAGTCGGCCCTGATTATAATTGTACTATTTCATGGATAGGATTTTTTGTTTCCAAATCGCACCATTTTTAAATTCAGCTCAATAATTACGTTGGTGGATTAATTAATTATAAACTAACATTATTTACAACAAAAATAATGTATTATGACAGTTTATGATTTTTCCTGATATAGAAATCTTTTTTTAGCTTTGAAATTAGTGATATATACACAATTAAATACGAAAAAATTGGAATCTTATTGGTAAACACCTCAGTCATGGCTGCTATTAGTTTGTCAACAACTACATGTGTGTAATTAATATGTGTAGCTACCACCAAACAAAATTAAATTTTATTAGGTGAAAGGGAAAAATTATTCTTTCTGATTCCTTATCCTGTAAGATATCTCCCGCTTTCATCCCATCCTGTTTATGATTGATTGGTGGTAGGAGTATATGCTGCTTCTTTTGGGTTTTGGGGGCTAAGAATTCATTGTGTTTTTCTTAAATCAATTGCTCTAACCGAACACTAAACTAGTCAAATTATGATGTAACCGCATATTGTAGTTGCATGTGAATGTGATCATCATAATTATTTAGTTATATTTTCTAATATATTATTGCTCCAGTGTGATTTGATTTTACAAATTCCTGCTGTGATAAGCTAATGTTGCTCATTTGCAGTTTGTGTTTATGGAGATCATCGAGCTGGAGGAAGGATGGAACATCATGCAGACGGGAATCACAAAATTAAAGAACATCTTAGAAGGCCATCCAGATTCATTCAGCTCCAAAGAGTGTATGATTCTCTTCAAGTATCCATAACATTCTTTGTGCTTATAGTCACTTCTCCTTTTTTCTAAATTACTATGTTTTTTGCTTTCACCTTTTCCTTGGCATTCCTTTTTGAATTTTCCTTAATTTGAAGAATAGTACTATCTATAACATGTGTACACAGAGGTACCCTCACGATTACTCTCAGCAGCTATATGAGAAATACAAGGAAGCCTTTGAAGAATACATCAATTCTACAGTAAGAACCATTGGCTTGAAAATTCTCTTAGCTTCTCACAGGGTTGAAGGTTTGTTGATGACATCAGTGTGCCAGTTAAATTTTATCAACTTGTAACCCACTAAGTGGTTAAATGTTCCCATGACAAAATTCAGAATTTGTTAAACATATGAACAAAACATATGTATGGACTATGTTATTGAGGTGGTTTATTTAGTGATACTAACTTAATACTTCATTTACCAACTCAAACTCACATGTAGTGAGCAGGCTAAAGAGCATCCTCATTGCTCAACTTTTCCTATTCAAGTTTCCCATACGTGTTTGTATATTCTTTTTTAGGTTCTATCTTCTTTGAGAGAGAAGCACAATGAGTTTATGCTAAGGGAGCTCGTGAAAAGATGGGAAAATCATAAAGTTATGGTCAGGTGGCTTTCACGGTTCTTCCATTATCTTGATCGGTATTTTATTGCTCGAAAGTCACTCCCTTCACTTAATGAAGTTGGTCTGACGTGCTTCTGTGATTTGGTTAGTCTTTAGCATTTCTATGTGATATCATATTGGTTATATTATCTTGCATAACTTTTATAATTCAACCTATAGGAATAAATACTCTTTATGCTGTTGTTGTGTATGATATTTACATTTGTGATTGTTGATAATAGGTTTATCAAGAGTTGAAAAGTAAAGCTAGAGATGCAGTTATAGCACTGGCAAGTCTCATGCCTTCTTTATTTGACCCACTTTTGTATCATACTATGCGCCAAGAATAAGAGTCTCATTGATAATCCTTTTTTATCAGATTGATCAAGAACGTGAGGGTGAGCAGATTGATAGAGCGTTATTGAAGAACGTGCTAGGCATATTTGTTGAAATTGGAATGGGGGAGATGGAGTTCTATGAAAATGACTTTGAAGATGCAATGCTTAAAGATACAGCAGCTTATTATTCTCGAAAAGCATCAAACTGGATTGTGGAAGATTCTTGTCCAGATTATATGTTGAAGGTAAAGATCCTATCTGCAATTTTATTTAGTGCATAAGTTGGTTGTATCCTTATCCCAGAATGTATACTGATACCTGTTATTTCTAAAACAGGCAGAAGAGTGCTTGAAAAAAGAGAAGGATAGAGTTTCTCATTATTTGCACTCAAGCAGCGAGACAAAACTTCTGGAGGTCAGTATTGGAATGAGGCACTTGAAAATTGAAATATTAGTATTTTCTTGGCATCTTAACTACTGATGAAAAGCTATTTAGAACTTCAAAATAAACTGTTTTGTATTTATGATATGTTGCAGTAACTATTTAACCCTTCTCTAGATGTTTAATTCTGTTGGTTTCTTGGAGTTCCCATTAATTGGTGTCGGATACTTGACTGCATTCCCCTTGGATGATATCTTTGAATAAACTGAATACTTGTGAAATGAAAGCAAAATAGTCTTTCCAAACCTTTCAATTTAGTTTGTTCATTGTACTCGGAGGAGGAATAATGTATTCATCTTGTGTATTTACAACTATTCTTCAGTGAGATGCTGTGCTTTCTTTTGGTCGATATTCTGATCATCTTTTGGAGCAGATTCTACTGGAAATTGCAAAAACTTTCCACTTTAAGTTAGAGGTGTTTCTCCATGATTATGCATCATTAATGAATCTCCTTCTTCATTGTTCTTTTGCTTGAAGCACATTTTCTTCATTGAGCCTAATGTACAAAATAGGGCTGTTGGTCAGTGATGTTTTTATTTTTATTTGGAGAAATGAAAAACATTGATGCATATAAATTTGTCTCATGTTGGTTTTATCACGTCATTACTTTCTAAGTTTTTACTTGATTAAGTCTATTTAGTTTTGAAATGAGTTATGTTCAAAGTGCCTCTGGTTGCATTTATTTTTTCAATTGACACTACACTTGTGCTGCAGAAAGTGCAAAATGAATTACTGGTTGTATATACCAATCAATTGCTTGAGAAGGAGCAAGGATGCCGAGCTTTGCTTAGAGATGATAAAGTATTAATTCCTTGCATATTAGGTGTCTACTAGTCAATATGTATTTGACTTCTTATGTGAGGATCTTTTTTTTCCCCCCTCCTTTGATCCACCCCTTTTTCATGTCAGGTAGAGGATTTATCTCGAATGTATAGGCTATTCCACAGGATCCCTAAAGGTTTGGAACCAGTTGCAAATATGTTTAAGCAGGTATGGTCTTCTATTTAATTGTTGAGCAACTACAGGGTTTTCGTTGAGTGTTTTTTTTGGTGGTTAAATACTTTGTTATGGTACATATTTTGCAGCATGCCACTGAAGGCATGGTGTTGGTGCAACAGGCCGAAGACTCAGAAAGTAACAAGGTCTGTTGACTGAACATGTTGTGCTTCATTTGGCAATATGTTTTTTGGCCCCTTTTTCTTATTTTAATATCCATGCTTCTTGAACTAGTAGAGAAAAAGTTTAGGTGTATGGGTAGGAAAAATCAAGGGAAGTTGAAGGGGAGAATGCATAGAGCAACCTATCTTTGAGAACAATCAAGTAATCTAGAAAAAAAAGGAGTTCAAGACTTTGAGTAGATTAAATAGCATTATCAGAAATACAAAGATATATGTGAAGTTGCATCCACAGGCTGTTCTTATGATCTGCGAGCTATTGTTTTTCCTTTTGGTAGTAACTGATTTCAGTGCATTTTGAAGTTCTGATATTTAAGTAGTTCTACAGGCTGAAAGTTCCAGTGGTTCACAGGAGCAGGTAAATCCACTTATCTGAATTTCTACTCAAGTTGATTTTTCAAGTGTAATAGCTCAGGAGATGGTTCAACTTCAACTGTGTCCGATCTGTTTCCTCAGGTCTTTGTTAGGAAGGTTATTGAGCTGCTTGACAAATATATGGCATATGTGACCGACAGTTTTGCAAATAACTCTCTCTTTCACAAGGTATATCCAGCTGTTCACAGTTGCGTGGTTATACTTTTTACCTTGAATAATTTGAGATGTTATTTCTGATGTCTTAACTTCTGAACTTTTATAGGTTTTGAAAGAGGCATTTGAGGTCTTCTGTAACAATTTTTTTGCTGGCTGTTCTAGTGCAGAACTCCTTGCCTCTTATTGTGATAATATCCTTAAGAAGGGCGGGAGTGAGAAACTCAGTGATGATGCTATTGAGGAGACATTAGATAAGGTAGCACTAACCCTATATCCAGCTTCGCTTTCTGGTGGTCACTCGATTTTTCAGGATAACTTCATAATTGTTTATATTTCATATAGGTGGTCAAGTGTCTTGCGTTTATCAGTGACAAAGACCTTTTTGCTGCGTTCTACAGGTTGGAAGCTACATCAATTTTTTTTTTGACCCTGTAACTAGTTCCTTGTTACATCTCTAACCATTGAATATGCATTTGTCTTCATAATTTTATAGGAAGAAGCTTTCTCGGCGACTGCTTTTTGATAAAAGTGCCAATGATGACCATGAAAGGCTCATCTTAACAAAGTTAAAGCAGCAGTATGGTGGACAGTTTACGTCAAAGATGGAGGGAATGGTGAGGAGAGTGTATAGTACTACTAATTTTATCTTCCCCCCGTTCAAATTGTCTTGTCAACACTTATTGTTTGAAATAACAAAACAGGTGACGGACTTGACTTTGGCGAAGGAAAATCAGAGTCACTTTCAGGAATATCTCAGTAACAACTCGGCAGCTAATCCCGGAATTGATTTGACTGTCAGAGTTCTTACAACTGGCTTTTGGCCTAGTTATAAATCTTCTGATCTGAGTCTCCCTGTGGAAATGGTGAGATCTGCTTCTCATCTGATATAATGATTCAATTTCTGCTGCTGATTTGATCTTTCCTTTTTTTTTTTTTTTTTTTTTTTATGGGTGTTTTACTCCTCTGTTGGTATCTCAGGTGAAGTGTGTAGAAGTCTTCAAGGAATTTTATCAGACGAAAACGAAACACAGGAAATTGACCTGGATTTATTCACTGGATACATGCAATATCAATGGCAAGTTTGAATCAAAAACTATTGAACTTATTGTGGGAACTTACCAGGTGATCAGTTTGTGAAATAGTTCTGCTGCAGCATCGCTGTTCTGATACCAAATATGGTTACTGATTAATGATCTCATTTTCAGGCTGCTGCTCTATTACTGTTTAATGCTTCAGATAGATTGAGTTACTCAGATATCAAAAGTCAGTTAAATTTGGCTGACGATGACTTGATCAGATTGCTTCAATCCCTGTCATGTGCCAAGTATAAAATTCTGACCAAAGAACCTAGCAATAGAACTGTTTCGTCAACGGATCATTTTGAATTTAACTCCAAGTTCACTGACAGAATGAGGAGGATTAGGGTATAGATACTGTTTAGAGCTACTTGTATTTTGCTTTGATGCTTACTTTGTGTATGCTTTGTGGACACTTTTTCTCAATGATCTTATTGTATCGTTCAGATCCCTTTGCCTTTTGTGGATGAAAGGAAAAAAGTTGTTGAGGATGTTGATAAGGACAGACGTTATGCAATTGATGCTTGTATTGTGCGCATTATGAAGAGCCGGAAGGTGCTTCCTCATCAACAGCTCGTGTTGGAGTGTGTTGAGCAATTGAGCCGCATGTTTAAGGTATGCTGCATCTTCACCATTTGGATTTCCTCTGTTTAGGTATTCCATTTAGGAAAGTGGACATGATTTTGGTCTGCCTAATAAGCAATAATCATGACATTCAATTTGACATGGAGGAATGTTGTTGCTTCTATGCCAGACATTTCATTTTCTTTCTTGCTATCTAATTGCGTGTTACTTAAAACATCTTTTCATTTTTAAAAGTAAGTCATCAATGTCCTAGGGATTGCTTTGCTGATAGAATATCTTAGATGGTTATTGCTTGTTTTGCTTTTCCTAGTACTGACTATTCAAAATAAAATAAAAATGGAGAAGTGATGATGACGGTTGACCACAGGGGTAACAGGAGGATATTGACTCCTTTGTGTCCAGCTATCTTTTTTGTTGTATTTTGAACTTCCTCTGTCTTGGTCAAAATTTTAAATGAAGAGAGTTATTCAGTCCAAAATAAGTAACCATTCAACCACTTGTCCTTTATCATAGGTATCGGGAGGAACTACCTGAAATTTTTTTCTCACCTCCAGTATATTTCCTCTAGTTTGAGGAATGTGTGACCACCTCAAAACTAAGAGAGGTATCCATAGATATATAAAGTAGGATATGCAGAGTGCTGGAATTTCTGTTGAGGTGTCATCTTTGTAACCCAAACTTGCCAATGTATTTCATCGTATTCCCTTCTCAAGTTTCTTCTCTGCCTTCAAATGTTTTTTTCCTGAAAAATAGTTATAGGCTCTAGTTGGAGAGATGTGTTAGCTTGTCTATTCTAATTATTGAATTTTCTCTTGTACGTGCCGAAAAATAATGTAAAATTTCTGTGTAGCCTGATTTCAAAGCAATCAAAAAGAGGATTGAAGATCTTATCACTCGTGACTACTTGGAAAGAGACAAAGAGAACCCAAACTTGTTCAAGTACTTGGCCTGAGGCAACAAGCTGATACCTTGGTGATATTGACTTCTCTTGGCACTAGATGGAAGTGTGTACAGCTGGATTTGATTGTTAGCCAAGGAAATAGCAGCGATTTTTTTTTTACCTTTGCCTGAGTAGGCAACTTGTGCAGTTGTTAGTATATCACCACTTTTTTTTCAGAAGTTGGTGGCACGTGTTAGTATATGCTTTGGTGTTTCTATATAAATGGTTCAATGTGGACAATATTATCTTAACTTGTTCCATGGCACGAGTAGGTTTCCTTTTGAACAGAAAATATTACCATTTGTTCAATAGTATCATGGTTCAATGTACTATTTTAGGTGCGGTGTGAAATGTGGAATAACTAAATCTTACATAATTAATTACTACATTTCTAATTCCTGAACCAACACCATACCCTAATCTTTAATGTGTCAACAAAAAAAGGTCCAGACGTGAGAGATGTCAAATGTACAGTTGTGTTATCAGAAAAAATTAGTTAATAGTTACATATTAGTGGTTTGTTTGGTGTGGGGGGGAAAGGCTGTATTGCGAAGAGTAAAGAGCCAATTGCCAGCGCCAAATATGTAGAATTATTATTGGGTCATTGTCCCCACAACAATTGGCAATGTTGACTTGGACCACTCCATTACTACAATCTAGTATCGGATTATTATATATAAATAATCCGATATTAGAGACTTTAACCTATATCTATTGTCTAGTGTAGTGGCAAAGGTTTTTAGAGTGTAATGGCCCAGTGTTGAGAGGAATATTGAGAAATTCCTCCAACATTATATGTACATACATTGGTTGGTGATTATAAACATATATATAATCGGACGAGTGCACTGGAAATTAAGCTTAGTTTAGGATTACATTGTACAGTTTTGAGCAGGTCTTTTCGTGGCCACACCAATTGTTGACATGTTATAAGCTGATTGACTTGTTATTCTTTCTTATTATCGCATGTTTCTACAAAAGAGGCACAAATTAATTAATCCAATGATATTTCTTGTCTTGGAGTAGAGAATCAAATGAAAATCATATGATCACTTTCATTGTATGGCTCTACTTTCTCCATCTCAAACTTAACTTTCAAATGTCTTAGTATGTGTTGAAAAGTTACTTTTTGTGGAATATGATGTGCAGTAGCTAGCATGTATATATGGAGCTAGCTAAATAAAGCTGATTATTTTCTGGTTTTTTATAAATAGGGTCCAAGTAATTGAAGAATCATTTTTTCATGTATGAGAAAATTAAAGTGGAAAATGGAGTAATGATGGATGTTGAGCTTGCTCGGCTAGGGTGAATGTGTACGTTCATGAACTGGATCGTGATTCGGAGGGAAAGGAAAATGTATGCTATACGTTCATGAACTGGATCAAAATGGGTTGCAATCCATCCCTACCAGCTGTTGAAATCATGTCTCTCCACCCCATAGTTATATATATTTCAACCTAATTTATTACTCTATCTATCTATATATATAATAACAACAAACAAATTAAATGATATACTTATATCCTTGCCTATACTGCAAACAATGTAGTACAGTAACAGTTTCCTCAATTGCCATTTGCTTAATTCAACAACAAAAGAGAAATTTGGTGAATTTATTTAGTCTCCCTCTATGCTTACCTACTTTCCGAGTATTTTATCTTTATCTTCTTTTTTTATATACCATATATATTGCCATTGAGAAAGAAATTACATTTGAAGAAGCAGGGTTAGGCCATACCTTCTTGCGAGTTTGGTTACACAGTCAAACCAAACACATGAGTGCACAAAAGATCTAAGCTAAACAAGCACTAGTACACTTAGAGAGGTTCAAGGGGGATCATAGCTCAAAGTATTTGCTTTACGCTTTATGACTCTAAAGGAAGGGCATACCCACCTATCTATGTAGAGAATCCCTTTCACTATTCTAGGGATGGTGTTGAAGTGAGAGTTGATCTAGATTTGTACATGAGTAGGTGAGTGACTTAGGGAAGCTAATTTGTCAACACTTTATTAGTTTCCCTAAAGTAATGTTGAATAGGAATATCATATATGCCTACAAGATTCTTTATCTCTTTGACCGTGTCTTCGATTCTCTAGGGGATTGCCCAGACAACGATGGTGCAATTAAGCAACAATAAAGAGTCTGCCTCAGCAATGATAGAACTCAAACCATTAACTCTTCCTCGATAATCCCTAAAGTACACCTCCCCCACCATAAGTTCCATTAATGCAGGATTCATCGGTGTTTAATTTAAGAACAGGGGAAGAGGGTTTAATCCACTTGACCACTCTGACGATCTTCTCAGCCATATTTTTATCAAAATCAAACAAATGTCTCATCAACTTTCACTTTGGATGCTTTTGAATCTAGCTAGCTTTGATAAGTTGACAGATGTTGAAAGTGATTAGAATGTCGCATGTTGATAGAAAGCTTTTCTGAATCATATTTGGCGCAACACTTGGGTCTCCATAACTCCCATATCACTATAGGTGGCATAATTTTAAGGATATATGCAGCCACCAAATTTTCGGCCTTAGAAATTCCAACATTCGACTAATAAGCTTCTAAGAGTTCTGCTTCACTGATGCCTAACCATCCTGCAAACCTTTGCCACATTGTTTGTGCAAATTCTCCATTATAAAATAGATGTTCAACATTCAACGTGGTTGATGTCATACCTGCAATCATACAACAACTACCCTTTTAGGTATAAATACAAATAATTTTTTTATAAATTCATTATACAAGTTTTCTACAACCTATATGAACAAATATATTTTGCAATACGTACGGTTCATTTATGAATAGTCGGACAGATGAAATAAAATTCTTTCATTTTAATCCTTAGAGCTTAATGCGGGTTCAGAGTAAAATTTAATAAAATGTTATGACATGAATATGAAGAAGTCCTAATTATGATTAATTTCAATAGTTATAGTGTCATTAATGAATTTTAACAAACATAAATTTATACTGTAGTAAAGTTTTATGTTAAAAATGGGCCCAGTATGAATTTGAGCAGCCATCCATCCCTCAGTAGTGGATCTTGAACCCACTCACCCTTAAATACTTGATATATACTGCACCATTTGCCCACACGCAACCAAATTTCACCACATAGCTCTACTCTCGAACCTTCTACATGGAAGAAGACGGTGACGATTTTGTCGTTGATCAACCGCCGCCGCCGCCGCCGCCGGAGCTCGATAGACAAGATGTCGGAAAGTTGCTACATAATTATGCATACACCACTTTGTGTTAATTTTCCTGTCAAAATTGTATAATGATTCATATTTTCTGTAGATGTGATCATTATCGGCGACGCTGTAAACTCCGAGCCCCTTGTTGCAATGAAATTTTCACTTGCCACAACGAGGCCAAGGTGCTTGCTGCTTTCTTATAAAAATACTACAACAGCCACTGCTCCGGTGCCCTTTTATCACTTATTTTGAAGTAGAACATACTCCATCCTTATTTGGAAAACCTAAACAGTCGGTGGTTAGTCTTTACATATATGTCCTGCTGCTAATTAGCTGTGTAAAATTTAATTAACAAGTCGCAGGTCAAAATCCATCCATAATCAGAGGCGAATCTAGAATTTCAAAAAGACGGGTGCATCATTGTCAAGGAAGGCTCTGTCCCTTTAAGAAAAAAAGCAACTAATTTAGGCTTTCAAATTTGAGGGGCCTTATTTATTTTAGCAATAATAAATATAGGTTTTTCATAAGAAAAATATTAAATACATTTGCAAAATAAATAAATTTTATTATAAGAAAAAGTCATTAGAAGAATTTTAAAAAGGCTGAATGCAGAAACTCTTTTTGTGAA